GGGGGGGGGGGGGGGGGGGGGGGGGGGGGGGGGGGGGGGGGGGGGGACGGCTGATCATTGGGTGCTGCAGAGATGCTCTGTCCCTTGGATGCTGCCGCTGCCATGTGGAACCCCCATCGCCAGCAAAGCCTCACATTTTCCGTGTGTTATTTGTTTGTTTCAGCAAATGCATGCGAATCCTGTTGACGAGGTCGTGCAAGGAGAGACATGCTGCTATTGCATTGCTTGCATTGCTACAACCTGCCTCCTGCTGCCGTGCAGGTAGATGCCTTGGAGTGTTGCTGGACAGTGGCAGCACCTTGAGTTTTGTTCCCCCTCGAGAAAACTGTCTAGCTTGCTAGCTTGCAGTCCTGAGTAACTATGAACAATGAAACTGGAATCTTTCCGTAGCACTGTGCCGCAAGGGTTTGGATACAACCCACTGAGCTTGGACAAACCTTTGACTATCACAAATACCAACGAATCCAGGCCATAAGGGTGTGCAGGAACCATCAACCCGGCATTGCTGACCACTTCTCGCCCTCTCTTGTGTGGCTTGATCTTGACGTGCAGGATCGCTCCAGTCAGATCAAGCCAAGGTTCGTCAATGCACCACAAGAGTCACATGAGCCAGAGTAGCCCCGTACTGCTAATCCCCTCCAACTTGCTGCTCTCGAAGTTGCTTGAAGGCGGCAAAGGTGGCCAGGCGCTGTCTGTCGCCAAGACGGGCGGCAGCCTCCGCACAGAAAACATACGCACAAACTTGCGAGACCTAAAGCTTATATTCTGCAAAACTTAGGTATACCTACGCGTCCTCGCAGACCAGCTCGTACATTTCATACGTAGGAGTTGCAGCCTGTTTTGTGGCTCAAACCAAGACTGCTGAGGGAGAAATGAAGCACTTGGTACGCGCAGCTGGCTTGCCTTTGAAGCTTATACACTGTCAGCCAGAGCACTAGAATTGATATGTACCCCTTATATACCTCAAATAAGTACCCTTTATATGCCCCTGATATATGCACCTTATATAACCATACACCTCCAGCATGATGTCAGGAGCCGCGCTGCGCAGAAACGCCTCGGCATCCTGCTGGAGCCAGCAAGAAGTGTGGTTTGCATGGGCCCTCAGTTCTGGTGATCTGTTGCATGCACAAGGCCCTTCTGCAACAGGATGGTATCGGTGGACATAGAAACCCAGTCCTGCGGCACAAGCAGCAATGGCATCTCCTTCACAGGTTGCTCGCACTGTCGCTCAGGCAATTGCGTCCAAATCTTTTAAACAAGTGAGAACAAGTGTCGGATCGAGAAAACTCACACTGAATGCCAGTGGGGACCTGTTTCATGATGCTCCATCTGTCTTCAGAAGCTGCCAAAAAACATGTGTCATTCCACATGCTGCTTGCCACAAGAGCCCTGGCACCCTCAGAAGCGTTTCACCGAAGCCGACAGCACGCCGGCTGCGAAGCAGCAAGTTGTCTGCTACCGGCTGCGTGGCGGCCTGTGAATGCACAACATGGCCGTCAACACATACTTGACATACTTCATACTGGCGATTCAGGAAGTAGGGAAGCCAAGCTGAGCTCGCAGTCAAAACGACTTACTTGGCCGCCGTCCAGCGGTGAAGGAAAAGCAGGTCAAAAGGATTCGGGTGGCCATTCATCAGAAGGGTCATCAAGAGGAAAAGCAAACAAAGCAACGAGGCAACCCTTTTGGGTCTACAGCTTCCCGCTGACCTTGCAGGATTGAGAGGCCTAGAGTTTCTCCTCTGCAAGCGTACAGAGTCTTGTTAATTCCGGGTCGTGCCATGTTGTGGCAATCGAACAAAGTTGACAGCGACTGCGAGAATGTGCCTCCAGCATGGTGCCATGAGCCCGCTTTGGAGGCCACGGCTCCATTGCCGTAGCACTGCAACTAGCACGCCTTCATCTGCTTGAAAGCATACAGGCTTGCAGACAAACCGAAAACCGATCACGGGACTTGCTAGGGGTTGGCAGTCCTGAATAGCAGCAAAACAAACTTGGTGAGAACCTGGTCTTTCCTATGGAACTCATGCAAACCCGAATCCTTGCGGCGGGGTTCCGGATTCGGACACATAAGCATACGTGCGTTAGCAGTAGGCCGGATCCTCATCCAAAAACCGTGCGACTGGAGTGGCCAGATGCAAGCATTCTCATCAATAGCATTTGAACCGAGTGCCTGTTGCATGATGCAGCACCATGTCTCGAACCAAGGTTGTCACATGCATACAAGCAATGCTTTCAACGCCTCCGACTTTGACTCCTGAGCGCGTGCACGGAGCCAATTTGTACCAAACTACTGAGGGCCCAGCTCTGCTGAGTGGAGGGTGAAGTCACGATCCTCCTGCGTTTTGGGTCATTTGCCACGTTGCAGTGCGCGAAGCCCCACAATGCTCATCGACCGAAGCAAAAGATCTTCGGCTGTTTTCCGCAGCGGCGCTCAAACGCGATGGCTCTGCCACAGTTGCTGCTCTTGACAGATCTTCACCATGGCTCTGACCTGACAAGGTGTTCTGGACCAGAGGTGAGCTGACAACAACAGACAGAAGGAAGATCTCATGCCAATGCGACATTCATCCGACAGGTGACGAGTGGAGGTCACGAACCCGAATGCAAATAAGCACCCGTGAGACACAGCAAGACCACGAAAAACATACGTAGCACGTTGCGTCGTGCCCCGTAGGGTGCGCACCCACAACAGCAGCAACGACGGCGGCAACAACAGCCCACAGCAACAGCAGCAGCAACACCGACAGCAACCACGATAGCAACGACAGAAGCAGCGGATGTTCAAGGCCTCGCGAAGACCAAGCCCAAGCTCTAAAAGTCACAGTCACGCGAAGAAAAGCCGAAGCGCCGAAACGAGGGGACGGTCACGAGCAAGGGCTTTCTTGATTACAGCTTTCATGCGTTTATTGACATTACCAATCTTATCTGGTACACTTCTTTTAATATTGGGTGATCTTCATTCTAATACACTTTTCTTTGATCCTATATTTGGAGGAGATCCTATACTCTATCAACATTTATTTTGTTTTTTTGGACATCCAGAAGTTTACATCTTAATAATTCCTGCATTTGGGATCATTTCCAGAATAATTTCTGGGATTTTACAACTAATAATCTTTGGTAACCAATCAATGATCTTTGCCATGTCATCTATTTCTCTTCTTGGAAGTCTTGTTTGGGGGCATCATATGTATACTGTAGGTTTAGAAAGTGATACAAGAGCTTATTGCAAGTACACGCTTTCAAGACGAAAAACCCTTCGCGATGCATTCGGGAAAAGCCGCCAAAACAAACCTTTAGTTTTTTTAGTCCGTTTACTTCCATTCTCATCCCGTGCAGCCGCAACACCAACGCTGAGAGCTCCGCAGCGGCTAATGAGGCCTCAGCGGCAGCACCCGGACTGCTGAAGGCGGGAAGGCGGCACAAAGCATCCTGCCCGGGACCACATCTGCTAAGCAATTTCTGCCACAAGGGTTTACTGGCTGAGGTGCACCATAACGCCATAAACATGCCTAGTTTAGAATCAGCAAAGTGTGCTGTGCTACATGCACGACAGAGTCAGAGATGGGCAGTTGAAATGACTTGAATGAGTACTGTGCTATAGTCGGGAATAAATGTGTCTACGACTATGAAGAGATTAGTTTGAATCGTTCGAGAATGTTCGAGAATGTGAGGGCTCGTCGTAGACATGTCGGGGAGGGCGGGGGGGGGTAGGTGGTCGTTTTTAGAAGAGCAACGGAGGCGGCAAACATCGTCCTTCGTGGGCATGGAGGCGAGCAGCAGTCGAAAGGTGAAGGCGGTGAACGTGCTGTGGTATTCCCTCCAGGCAACGGATGGCAAAGCTGAAGGCGCAACCGTGGGTTGCAGCTATCGGTGGTAGAACAAAACCGCCCTTCTGATTTGGTGCCAAGGCTCTCGAGGTTCTCGCTGTAGGCCTGTCTCTAATGGTTTGCAATCTGCTCAAATCCGAAATGTGCGAACAGCACTGGCGGAATCTGTGGCGGTCATCGCTCGCCACGGCGAGTCCGAGCCAGAAGAAAACGAAGGGACGACAGCAACTCTCTAATTTTTCATGCTGATGCAAAAGGCTTGTGGTGGATTAGCTTCTTTCGTGGTCGCCTTCATTGCAGCGTCAGGATGTTCTTCCAGTTGCAGCTGCAGAAAGCGTGCGTAAAAGCCCAGGCCGCGCAGCAACCACTGCAGCTGCATAGCACCTAGAGCACATTTCTTCTTGCAGCTTCCTCTCTCCCTCTCTGTCCCTCTCCCTCTGTCTCTCTCCCTCTGTCTCACACTCTCACTCTCTCTCACTCTCCCTCACTCTCCCTCACCCTGTCACTCTCTCACCCTCCCACCCTCTCTCGCCCTCTCGGCTCTCCCCTTCTCCCTCTCTCTCTCTCCCTCCCTCTCTCCCTCTCTGCTGTTTTTTTTTTGTTTTTTCTCTCGCTCTCTCCCTCTTCTTCGTCTTCTTCCTCTTCTTCTTCTTCTTCTTCTTCGTCTTCTTCGTCTTCTTCGTCTTCTTCTTCTTCTTATTCTTCTTCTTCTTCTTCTTCTTCTGCAGCTCTCTCCCTTGCTTGCTTCCTTGCTAGGCGTATGACCCCCCCCCTAAGGAAGGGAGCCGCCCCAAGCTCTCTCTCTCTCTCTCTCTCTCTCTCCTGCACGCATGGCCCCCCCCGAAGGAGAGGCCGCCCCTAGGGGCGCGCGATGTCCAAGGTCTCGTGATCCCCATCTTGTTGAGGGGGCAAAGAAGAAGCTGAATGGCCGAAAGGGTAAAAACATGCACCTGGGGGACGCTGTTGGTTTTTCCCCCCAGGGTGCCTATCTTGGTGTTGGATCGAAAGTGCCGCCCTCGAATTGAACCCTTGGCCATGGTTAAAAGTAAGAAAGGTCGTTGTTTGTCCACGGTGCCTAACACAACCCCCTGCAGTGCGGCAGCGGGTCGGAAAAGAATGTGGTTCCCCCTTTGCAGTTTGGCAATGGGGTTACGGTAAGTGTGTTTCCTATCTCAAGTTACACTGTTGCATGTTGGAAGGCTTTGCCCCCCTAGGCCACTTATCCCTTGCCCATCAGTTGTGGAGGTTGTTGTTGTAGTCCCATCTTAGTCGACGTTGGAGTTTGCCAGGCGTGCCACCTTCTCCCCCAGCTTTTCTTGACGTCTGCCCTGGTCGCCCCCGGTCTTCTTCTTGCGTGGAAGAGGTGGTCTGTCATGTGCTGGGGGTCTCGACGGGGCCGATGGTGTTGCATATGGTCCCCTTCTTGGTGTCCTTGAGCGGCGGGTTTTTGGTGCAGCCACAAGCTTGGCTGTCATCTTCTCCCCCGTTTTTGCTTGGGGCTGGTAGGAGGCCGATGGTCTTTCACATGGTCCTCTGTTGTCTCGCCCCCCATCTCGTGAAGTCGCCCTTGTAGGTGTTGATGTTCCCTTTGCTCCTTTTTTGGCTTGGGGGTTTGTTGAGGCCGATGGTCTTTCACATGGTCCTCTGCTGTCTTGCCCCCTTGCCTGCGAAGCGGTCCTTGTGGGTTTTGCTCCAGCTGGGAAATCTCGTCTTTGTCGTTGTTGGTGATGGAGCGTTTCCCACGTGGTGGTCGAAGGGACAATGTGGTGTAGTGCCGTGGTTCGCAATCTTTTCCAGGGCGATGTGGAGGTTGTCTGTGGCATCGCGGGTCGTAGTCCAGGTCGGCTGGTTTGTGGGGCTCCCCCCACTTCGGCCTTGTTCTCCTCCATGTCTACCTGGACTTCTTCATATTCTTCTTCGCCTTCGTCTTCTTTGTTTTGGCCTTCATGTTTTCCCCTCTCTCTCTCTCTCTGTAGGTAAATTGCTTTTACAGCAACCACCTACACTTGCAGCAACAAGCCCCGCAGTGTAAAAGCTCACCATTCTGACAGTCGAAAGAGATCACGAAAACTACCCTGAAATGACCCGTGTGCTACTCACAAACAACACCGGTCAGATTCTTCACATGAAAAGCTCTTCTACACATGAAAGGCTCCGCTGGGATCGGCGATCTGGCAACGACAGGGTTCATCCGGCTGGTGCCGGCCCGATGCCTTTGAGGCTGTTTGCGTTGGATCCAACTTGAGGGTCATGTTGACATTCCATGACTATTCCACACGTGTTCACAAAATCTACCACACACACACACTAATGCTTCGCACTTTGGACTCGACTTGCACGGCAAACCTATCGCTTTCCTGTGAAACCAATGGGGCACAACTCGTTGTACACATGAACAGGGGGTCGCATCCGCCGGTTCATTCCACATTCCACAAGGTCTAGGAGGAGCGGTGCCCGGAACGCACATGAACAAAGAGTCTGCTTTGTCTTCGTCCTTCGCATATTGCATGCGCACGCGCCTCTGTGTTGTGGGGGACCCTGAAGACTCTGCATATTTGTACCTTTGCATGCACACATACCTGGATACACATCGGCACTGCAGTTCCCGCATGCCCATGTTCCTTGTCTGTGAAACCTGTCTGGATGCCTTCTCGGCTTCGAGAAAGCCGCGCAGGGAGGATCTTCTCTGGGGCTCGAGGCTGAAGAACTGCTGAACTCCTGCGCACGGGGGCTCACACCAGCGCCACGGAACTCTCTTTGAGGCCAGATACGTCAATCCTGTATCCATCAGCATCTTTGACAAGCCCTCGCACCTCGCAAATTCTTGTCGATCTCCGCCACCACCGCCGATGCTGCAGTGCCCAACTGGCCGAGGACGGTGATGTAGATGCTTGCCGCCTTCTGGGGGGGGCTGCTTGTAGGTAATTAGCCCCCAAACCACTACTAGTTCAAGTGCCTGGAGCAAGTACCACGAGCTTATGCTCCTCAGCATCTGCTACGTACTTGTTCATGCTTGTTCCCTTTCTACTATCGTTGCCAACAGGTGACCACAAGCCGGTACGCCGGACAAGCTACAGTAGTCATTGCTCGACGCGACTTGTTGCGTAACACATTCAGAAGGACAAGCCGAGGCCGACGAAAGCGAGGACCATGCGCATAAACTGCGAGAGCCCTCATTTCACTGACGCTCCCGCGAGAGACGTCATCCGGGGAACAGTGCCATCCACGAAATTTCACAATACTTGTGTTTTCTTTGCGTGAATCTCGAGAACTTGCGACATCTTTCGCGAGGGTGTGCACTACTATCCACTGCACCAGCGTGAATTCATTATGCATGCGGAACCGTGTTGAAGCATGTGTGGGTGCTGCGCATGCATGCACAACACCACCTTGTGTCCGAGTCCTAATCCCACTCCCCCAGCACTAGCTAGGTGTGAGCCTTTTAATTTGGGAGGCCCCGCGCCACTTGCGCAAGTCTTGGCTAGAGCTCCTGACTCCTGACCCAACATGAAGCCTCCAGGAACGGGCGCATTTTCACGTCCTCAGCTCTGCCGCCCTGAAGGCACAAAGCTTCCTGGCATCTTTCGCGGGCGAGACCGAATCCGACGGGGGAGCCGGTTGAACCTCAAAGGTGGCGTACGGGCGCAATCTTGAAATTTCCAAGGCCAAGAAGCTTCGACCAAGGCAGCACCCCCCTCAAGATGCGAGCAGGATGCTCTCTAAGGTGCCCTCGAGTCCTTCTGCGGCTATGGAAGGCGTCCTCCACAGCTCAAACCACTCCTCGGCAGGGTCATGGACTTCAAAATGTCGCTTCTGCTGGCGTAAGTTTCATTGCTGAGGTCCGCAGGGCCGCAGGGCCCTACTTCTCTGTAAAGGATTGTAAAGGCCATACACCCACACGCACTTCGCAAGGGGGACATATAAGGATATGCAATGGGTCCGGGTGTGGGGGGGGGGGGGTGGTGGGTGAAGGATCAAAAATGATCAAACGAATTATAACGATGAAAAAGATTAAGGGCGCAGGGAAAAACACTAGCCCACCAGGGGTCGGAAGACGATACGAATTCTGAAATACTTATCCGCTCAGCGTTCTGTCTTTGAAATACCATTTCTACTTCTCATGACTCATGATCCTGCTTCTAGTCTACAGTACAATGGCTGTTGCTATGAGTAACTCCAATACTGACATTGACCCCTCGTGGTTTTCAAGTTGCCACTTTCCATCACTTCCCGCCGCAGCTACCTCGGCACCTGGCAACATGGACATCTCGGCGAAGCAATCCGCCCCTCTACCGCAACACTCTCCGCTAGTGGCAGCGCTGAACCACGCCAAACCTGCAAGTCCAAAGGCGCGGTGCCGAGAATCAAACCAAAAAGCACAAAGGCCAATACGCAGAGAAGCCCGAGCCAACCGAGCTAACGAGCTCAGGAGCAAACAAAAAAAGTTCAGAAGCCAACAAGCCGGCCGAAGTCGAAAAGCCACAAAGCCTCCAAGAATCATAAAGCCACGGAAAGAGCCCAGATTGCAAGAACCTTCAAGAAACCAAGATGCCCGTCCCCTGCCCACCCCCCCCCCAAAACACAAAGCACACGCAAGACCCGAGATGCCGAAAGCCAAGAAGCCAAGCAGCCTGGAAGCCCATAAGCTAAACAATAACAGTCCACAGCGTCCCTGTCTGAAAGCAAGTTGGGTGATCTTTATCTCTGTTGTTAGCCCCGCCATGATGAACTGGGGCAATTCTTCACACCATACCATGGCCATGGCCCCGGCCCGGAAGTGAGGAATCCAAGGATCGAGCGATTAAGACGTATGCTCACTAGCTGGTGTCACTTGCGTGTTTCAACTTTCGGGCCGCAAATGACATGGCCAAGACGCAATCTTGCGGTCGCCCCGCTTCAGGATGCCAGGACGCTTCTTCGTCGGCTCATGGCAACATTCGATCCAGACTGCAGCGCCTTGAACTTGCGTTGTATGCTACTTATCTTGAGCATCGACCCCTCCTCCCTCCCTATGATACATGAGGATGTCAAAGGCTTAGCTGCCGAAAATGAAGCCGTGGCGAGCTGCTATCCAAAGGGGTAGTAAAGGATCATCAGGAGGTTAGTCTCTTAACAATCATACTTTCGATGTTGTATGAATGGGAGAAATGTCCTGAGGATGGCCGATTTCAAACCGACTCCAGTTTATTAGCCTTAACTAGAAGCAGAATTTCAAGCAGTCGGAGCATCAATTATGGCCGGTACGATGTGCTCTTCTCATTCTCTTACATGGTTCGCGATAAGTGACAACTTTGTTGCCCCGTGGCAATATCAATGCAGTTAGCACACTCGCAGTGTTCCCAATCTGTCTATCGCCAATTATAGCGAGATAAGCTCTCTGTGACCTCTCCCATCCACAAAAACAAATTGACTTACACCAGCTGGTGCAGGTTGATCTACGGATTTACCAAAGTGTCTTACACCCCGGATATCTGAACGAACGCTGCTATTCTGCCCTTTGAAGGGGACTAGGTGACCGAAAGGGTGGCAGGCGTGTGCTACAAGGAAACGGAGCCGAAACACCATGGCAAAATGCGAACCTGTTTGCCGCCGAACTCTGGAATGTGGACCATCACGCGGCTCATTCTCTACTTTTGGCGCCTGCTTGATTGGTGTCTGCAATAGAACCGTACCAAGTGGCCTTGGCAATGCGGGCACTTCACAATGTCATAGTCGCCAGCCCCATCCAAATTGGCAAAGAGGCCATCCCGGTCTCTGTAGACAACCTGCAGGAAGAAGCTTAACCGATTTAACGTCCCAGAACAACACTCGAAGAACATCGAAGAACTTGGCCCTTGTTAAGACTGTTAAGAACATGTAGCTGCACTTGGCTGCTCTATGATCCCCGTTTCCTACAATGCCAACCCGGAGAAGTTAAACTGGGAGCGCTCCGGCATGCAAGCACAACTTCAAATGTGCCTCACATCAGTTCCCTAGCTGCAAGCAAGACTATCTGTGGGTGGCTCTCCGGCCTGCCTGGAAATCTTGCATTCCCAACAGATTGTTTAAACTCTTGCAATGTTTCCTCGCATGTTACAAAGTCCGAGTTGTGCGCCGCGCAGCGGATTGGCAAGTCTTCACGGATCTTCACAGTGTTTCACTCGTTCACGGGCCATGAAAAGGAAACACAATGAAATGGCATAGACAACTTCGTTCCATTGTCTGACAGAGGGACCCTCTGACCCATTTGATGCGGAAGCCCTTCAGCAAACAACCAACACACAAGCAAGCAAACTTAAGCAAGCAAACAAGCCACAACACGCAACAACACCAAACATCAACAACCAGCAGCAAGCCCCAACAAACGGCAGCAAACAGCAAAAACAACAAAACAACCAAGAACCAGCAAGAAGGATAGCAACAGCAGCAGTAGCAGCAAACACACACACGCACACACGCCCAACAAATAAGCAGTAAGTAAACAAACAACCGACAAACAAACAACAGCAGCAGCAACAACATCGACGGCAGCAAAAACAATAGCTAACAAAACACAACAACGGACTGCAATAGAACAAAAACTTAAGAGACAGAGACAGAGAAAGACAGGAGAGCGAGAGAGAGAGAGAGAGAGAGAAAGAGCGGGAGAGCCACCATCAACAACTGCAACGACAACAACATCGTCATCGTCACCATCACTATCCCCCAATAATCATAATAACCTTCTCCTTCGTCACGTTGATCTTTCTCCTCCTCATCATCAACGTGGAACCGGCACAGACCCAAACAGTGCAAGACCACGACGACAGCACGCACACGTGCGTGAGCACGACCCAAGGCCCAGAAGCGATGACGTTGTGATGGGAGCACAACTCCGGAGTCCAATGCGATACTTCGTGAGGAGGATGCTCTCAGGACTGTGGCTTGAGCACCTCTCAGGCCGAAGAGCGACTTCACGAAGAGAATGCGCGCACCGGAAAGATTTCAACAAAATCCTCGAGATGCACTAACCCCCCCTGGAGTGGATGCACGAAGGGCGCTGTCCAAGAGCACCAGAGGCAGGAATGCACATGAATGCATGCTCCTGCCACAGCAGAGGTCCCCATGAGGGCACTCCAAACTCCGAACCGTCGCCCTGCGCTGCAAACTTCGAGCACTCCCTATATCTCCCTAGTACCTTCTATCGGCCCTGTCCAGCGCTGCAACCCTGGTGAGGGGAAGTTACCTCCAGTACCCTCCCTGGCCTCCTTGCCTGCGCAGAATGCACACTGCTCTTGTCGACGCACGGATGGCACGGCACCTGAAGCCAAGATCTTGGGCCTCTGGTGCTTTGGGAAACTTTGAGCAAATGTGTGCCCTCTCTTAGCATGCGGCGTGCCAGGTCTGTACAAGCCAAAAGCATATGTTTCCTTCATTGTTCCCTACCAGTAGGAACTATGACATACACAAAAGAGAAGCCTCCCTTGTCAGGGAGTTTTGTCGGGGTTTTATTGTCCACAAAAACTGCGATTGGCTTGCAAAACATTAACGTTAAAACGCAGCTCAAGCTTCGCAAGCCGGTAGGTTTAGCGTCGCAGTCGCGTTAGATCCACTGATCCTCACTCTGATTTGCACGCATTGCACGCAGCCAGCAACTTGCTGGCTGTGACAGCATTGTCCCCATTCAGACCATGGATTCATTGAGGAAGGCTGGATCCTTCAGTTGACGAAGCATTTTGGTTTTGAATGTTCTGGTGCGCGTCGCAGAGCTTATGCTGCCCTGATCTGTCCGTCTGTGCAGCCACTCTGCACTCATATGTACAATGGCAAGCAAAGAATAGCCATAAAGCAAAGCTGGGGTAGGTTTGCACTGGAAACATGACACAGCTAACTCAATACAGGTCATGAAAATCTCACGTGCCTCGTCCTTGCTCGGCAGACGGATGACAAAGACAGGGGCAGAGCCATCGCAAAGACGGCCAGGATTTCAGCAGCATGCCGCATCAGCGGCAATTGGGCAGCGCATGTGCTGCGATAGGTTTGAATTGTGTCTCATTTCAAACTGCTTTTGTGAGATGACGGCTCAGCAGGACTTGGAATGTGGCCCATGTCAACCTAAGCAATGAGTTGGCTGAATCTTGAAGTTAAGCCAGCTCCACATGCTCACAGCTGCGGCGCATCTAAGTATTCTAAAGCAAAGGAGCCGCACAATACTCAGGTCAGCAAGGCTTCCAGCCCGAAAGGGTGTCCTGAACGGAATAGTTCGTCAGGTCTGCGTCGCGGCAGTCCTGCGTTCATGCCCCTTTGCTTGACGAGACGCGAGGAGGAGATCCCCTTAGGCACTGTCAGCTCAGACGGAGTTTCGCGCATCATGTCGCAGCATCATTCGGCCGCGACTGTGCTGCAAAACCCACATGCTTGGACAGTCCGCGCAAAAGAAATCGGACTGGATGGTGTAAATCGTGCAGTAGTGCCACTACCATCTCGTTTAGCAGGAGTTTTCCAGCCCTAGCTTGGGGGAAAAGTGGCAAAGCACCAAACTGTTCAGCTGGTCTCGTGCTCATAGCCCACCCCAGCAGTGGTGTTCCCCCGTCCGCCATCTGTCTGTCTCTAACTTTCGTTTAGTCTTTTGATGGGCTGGATCTGTGTGCGTGCCTGGATGCAGCAGCTGTGCTTCACAACAAGCAAATTTGTAGGCCGTGCTGGGCCAACGCTGAGACCCTGATCGCCTTCTTGCTGCAAGACTAAACAGACATGCCGAAGCAAAGGGCTCTGCGGACTGCGCCTCGAGTCCCGTTTGGGACTTGGAGGAGGCCTGCCAGGATTCCAGAAAATGCCATCTGCGGACGTGTCTGACGTGAGCCCTGAGCTGGCGAGCTGCTCTGCACAGAGGTGAAGCACATGAAGCGCATGCCGAAAACTCGTGAAGCCCTGAGAACTTCAACGTCATAGACTCAGCATGACGCGGCTTTTCTTCACGCCGTTTGGGCTGACTTCCTCGTCCAGGCCTGGAAGTCTCGCACGGAAACCTGGCGCAGGATGCACGATGCCGGAGTGCACAGAATCTACAAGACACACCTTGCAATCCGGAGGCCAAGAGTTAAAAGCCTAAGGCCTATACAAGTGCAAAAGTGCGGCCTGCCGAAAACGGTTCCATGCAGCTTGTCAAAATTCCACCACCAAAGTCCACAAAAACCGGTCAAAGTTCAAACACGATCGAGGCCGCACCCTGAAAATGTCTCGAGTCTTGAACCTGCGCAGGATCCATAGCTCAGATCAGCGAGGCAAGAATGGCAAGAAGTGTGCGCCATCTGTCAGCAAGGCTGAGGCCGTGACTCATCTCGCAGCAATAAGCAGGCGGTGTGTTCCCGGAGGTCGGTAACCTGCATGGGCAAAAGCTCGGCACTGAGCAGCAGAGGAGAAGCAACCAAATAGAACAATTAGAATCATGGAACGAAAGGTGGGCAAGCTGACAATGTGCGGGCTTCCAGCATGGGCTGCATTCAACATGACTTACTATAGTACATACTCCGTGTCATTGGTTTCTGCGTTACATGCCGGCGAAGATGCACGACCTTTACATCTCAAGGCTCTCTTTGTCTCATCCGTTGCATGATCATGCCTTCACGTTGTAGCCCTTGCCCAAAGCCGTCTGCACCAGCTTTACATCCTGCGCCCAGCCTGGATAGAAGGCAATTCGCTGGGTCTTTTGCAAGCTATGCTTGAAGGTTCTCTTGCTTGGGCAGGTTAAACCGCCTTGGGTGTCCCATCCTATGTATAGTAGCCACCAGACTCGCTAGATGTCACTAGTCATGACTTTTAGGGGCTTCAGCTGGATCACCTGGGCCCCGCACGCGGCAAGGTCTCACCTTCCAGAGGCTCACGTGGGAAAACGATGGTCTTTACCTCGGTGACTCACACCCTAAGGGGCATGATGTTCACATGCCTGCATAGTCCGGGACATGGCCTTGCACACGGCTACTTCGCCCCCTCCCCCCCCCCCTCCCCTCCCCCCCTCCCCTCCCTTTCGACCCACGTTCCGTGGAGATATCCACATCCGCGCAGACACAGCGAAGCTCGCTGTCGCAGGCTTCCAGTCTGCGCTGCTTCGAAAATGACACAGCCCCCGACCCATGAACCATCGTTCAGCTGCCGCCCAACCAAGGCATCGGGCAGCCTGTCCTGACAGAACACAGGATGACATCGCTCGAAGGAGACAGACGAATCTGGCGAGTTCTGGGGCAAACATGCTGGAATCTGCTGGAACATGAGGTCTGCTGTGCCCTCCATGGCCTTCGCAGGGTTGTTGTGCACGAGGCACCTGTTCAAAAGGCACCCGCGCAGACTGTTAACTTAATCCTATGTACCTCAAAGTGTCAGGACACTGTCATGATAGCCCGTGCCATTTCTCCATGTTGTGCTCGGATTCAGCATGATTCAGCGCACATCCGATGAAGGAGCTTCTTCCTTTCTTGTTTTGGAATTCTGCATGCTATGCTTTACAAGCATTTTAAAAGCAGCCATTAAATGCTCGACGCCGCATCTCCACCTTGCTCCAGAGATCTCTCCCCATACGACGTAAGCTGCTGATGGTCTTGCGCCTGTGTTGTCTGCCGTCGACGAGCGTCCCCTGCCCCACCGTCATGAAGATATGCAATTATCCGATATCCGTAGGCACAAGCGGCAAGCGGCACAAGTGCACCCAAATGTGTACGCAGACTCGGTGAACCTCAGCTCATGTACCTGCATGGTTAATATCTCTTTGTCACAGATTCTTGGCCTCGATCTCGACCGAGTCGGAGTAGACCCTGACCTCTGACGCTCAGGTGTGCCGCTGCTATCGCAAATCTTCTTCCATCTATCTTGCGATGGCAAGAGCTACAAGTCGGAAACGTGCAATCCAGAAGCCATGCGCACTTCTGAAGTGACAGAATGATAAGCAGCTGGTGTGGTTCAAGAGATCTCCGCTTTTTTGGGGAACGCGATCTTTTTTTGGGAACCCTCACCAAACACCATCCACCCACAGAAGACTGGTCCCAGGTCCGCGACGATGGACATGGCACTGCCCCTGTTGTCGGCAGGATTGAACAGCTTGCTAGCCGTGTTGTCCTGGGGTCACGCTCAGGCTTGGCAACTTTCGGGGGGGATCTACAAGGAAGGAAGATCCGCAACGTGCAGTGCTGTTCAGGAGCCTTTTGGAAGCAGCAAACGACAACCGCAGGTGTGTTAGCAACAATGAAGGCTGGTGCAGATGTGTTACGCTACTGCAACATGGCTCAGTGCTGGAAAGAATCTGATCGTGACGTATCCGCCGTGATGCAAAGCAGGCCATGCTTTGGATGCCGGACAACCTTGCTGAGAAGATAAACAAGGGAAGTCATTCTCGCCCATCCAAATACGAAGCGGATGTAGGGGAAGCTTGGTCGATGCTTGCTAACCGAGCTCGTCTTCATTTCATGAACATCACAAAATCAGAACTCAGGCGTCCTAGTCTGGCTTGCGTACTAGTAACTAGCAGTTTGGGAAATGTCCTTTGGTGAAGATACCGTGCCGCTAATCGAAACGAAGCAGTCCAAACGGAAAGGAACCAAGCAAAAGAAACACTCGCATGCATTGCAAAACCTGCCGAAGAACTCATGAGCTCAGTCAGAGCTCAGTCCAGAGATGCAAAGGATCCGGACATGATCAAAGCTCGACATTGAAGCTCCCCACCTCCTTTCACCTCCTTTCAGTACATGGCAGTGGGTGCCCGGCTGTTGGGGTTTGGCCGTGCGGCTGATGTCCCGAAACAATGCGCTGAATCCCGGACCTGACAAGCTGCGAGTCTGCTGTTTTAGTGACCTTTCGTGGCGCTGGGGGGAACAAAGATGGGGTGGGGCCGGGGTTGGGGAGGGGAGCAGAGTGTCGGAAATGATCTGTCTGGCATGGCAACCTTATGAAGCACAACCTGAGCTTCTTGCCTGTCCAGGTAGTCCTGCACCTTCAGGAAGCGTGTAACATACAGATGAACAAAAGCGAATCAACATTCTGAACCCTCCACCAGAATGCTGATACGAGTATGCTTAAATACGATTGCCTGCCGGGGAGGAGAAGGACACAGGACAATGGCAAGTCCCCCCCGGAGACCCGTGCCCTCAGACCCCCCTCCGTTACCCTTGAAGGAGGCGCCTGGCATGCACTCTAAATACTCTAAAAAACAGGCGCACAAGGGAAATGGTCCAGCCTGCTCTGAGCGCTGTTCAGGATTCCCGTCCTTGCAGACAGCTAGGCAAACCAGGATCTGGTGGACTTCACGATAGATTAAGATTCTTGATGTTTGGGATCCTCTGCATAGTTTGGAGTAGCCTCAAATATGTGGGAGGAAGAACAAATCGCATTGCTAAGCAAAGTCTTGTAAAACTTTAAAGCCCTTGCGATGCCCGGAGAGCTCATTGCCGAGCACTGCTTGGACATGCGGTCCCTCCTAAGCCAGCACGTCTACCTCTTAGGCTCTGTGCTTCGGACAACGGAAAAACGAATATCCAGCAAACCCAACCCAAAATCCTGGTCCAATTCCCCACATAGAAAGCTCAACTCGCCCAGTACTCACTCTGTGGGCTCGCAGAAAACGCAAGCTCCAAAGCAAGCGAGACATGTCGAGGCCTTAAACGGGTTGAAGTAAATAACCTTGGCGGCTGGTTGCGGAGCTTGGCAAATTCAAGGCTTTCTGCGAACTCAACTGCACATTCGAGGCCGCACAGCCAAGTTACGAACACCCGAACATAAAACTACGGACGCCCCTCCCCCCCCCTCCCCCCATGTTGTACTTAGCGTATGTTGAAACCTTGGCTGCCAAAGCTCCCAGCAAGCTGGTACAAACCCTGGCCACCGATGCAAGTTTCCATTCCACAAACAAGGAGCAGCTACCCGTGGCACTAAAGCGCGCGAGATTGCATGAGCCTGTCTTTGTGAAGTGATGCCAAGCAGCGGTCTGCTTCCCTGCACCTTTGTTGGGCTGTGTAAAGGCAAAAAGAGTTGGGGCTTCGCAAGACCACTTGCGCCCAGGTGGAGGGGGGAGGGACGAGAGCTTGTACGGGTTTAGGGCGCTGTGATCTCCACACTACAATAATTGATCTGACATTCACAATCAAACGACCGCGAGCTCAGGGGTCTGGGGTTGAAGGTACGTCTTTCGGGGCCAGGGTGAAGAGATTTCAGGCATCGGGGTCCCAGGCTTGATCCCTAACGGATCTAGCTCTCAGTAGCCTTAGCACTCATTTGGGATGTCTCACAATGCAGGGCCACTCGGGGTTTTAAGGTGGACCTAAACCCTATAGAACCCTCAACCCTGAAACCCTCAAACCCTTAAACTCTAAAACCCTATGCGGTTCACCTTGGGCACCTACACCCTTTTTCCTAAACCCGGGGAATAATCTGCACCGGGTCTGAGACGAAAGCCCTCCTCAAGTCAAGTTTTTTCGGGTTTAACATCTGAAGTTGACCCGGGCAAGCTACCCCTAATTGCCAAGTTCAAGACAAACCTGGCACGAGCCTGTTGGTTCATTTGGTACGAGAACCGCCGATACATCTAGCGTTCGGGGTGCCAGTCCCGCAACCTGCAATCAGAAACCCTTCTTGCGGCGGGCTTTCACTCCTTCCCCTAGCCATCGGAGCACGATGAAGAACCCCAAGCCCTAAACTTCTTGCGCCTGCCCAATACTTCGAATCGAAGCTTCTGGCATCGGCTACCAGAACCGAGAACCCTGATCCAATTCAACATTCCGAGAGGCCGGGAGTGCCGTAAAGTATCAGGCCCTCGCCGCCTCGCCGGCGTACCTAGGACTGGACTTTGAAGGGACTCCCACGAGATGGTGGTTACTTGGGGGACGTGTAACATTTGTTTTGGATAAAGCTTTGGCAGCTGCTACTGCTGCTGCTGCTGCAGCTGCTGCACTGAATGCCAGCCCAGTACACGCCCTGGTGCAAGGACCGACAAACATGACATGCTGGTACTGCGACAACTTAACATGTAATCTCCGATGCTGGTACGAAGCACATAGATGCTTACACACATCTCAGTGTAGTCGGTGATGCAGCTGCCCTCGCATCACAGGGCTCAGACGCCATTGTCCATGTAGAAGTAGGGTTTGGCAGTATACTCGGCCAACTGCTGGTCCTTCCAGGCCTTATTTGGACAAAGGTTCCGGACCAAGCACGCGTCCAGTCTGGGAGCTTGACGCCCCCCTCCCCTGCCCCCCAACACAAAAACTTCACGTTCTTGCGAAAGCAACATCGACCCTCCCCCCACCCCGATCTTGTCCTTACGACTGCGAAGCAAGAAGCAACTCAAGCCTGGCTCCGCTAGCTTTCGCAAAGGGCTCATGACCAAGCTTCCGGCATTTAGATGATCGACCCACTCTTGAACGTCATCCCAGCGACCTGCCCGAGGACTGCATCTGTTCATGCACTAGAGCAGACTAAGCCGACTTGCATCGACCTGGTCAAGTTGTGTTGTGTTCCCTGTGCCAGGAGTGCCTGATGTCCCAGGAACGCAACCCAAGTTCTCATCTCTCAGTCCGCCGTGCACGAAGAGGGTGTTGTCAAGGACGAGGCCTCGCCGCAGAACCATCTAAACACAAATCCAGAAGAACAAGCACGGTAACACGAACGAGTCGGTGCTACGCTGCTGTGGGCATATGACTGACCATCGCCATCCCCATGCTCCGATTCAAGATGGGTCCATGCAGGACCCAGCCAGTGGGGAAGTCAAGTGCCAACTACGTTCGGGCTTTCGCGTATGCCAGCAGTGCCTTCCCCAAAACTCTGTATGAGCCCTGCGGCCAGCTTTCCTCCATCATGCTACAGCATCTTCGTTCGCACATGGAACGCTGTGAACACTTTGCATGTCGAGATGCCTGTCCAGACTTGGTGCACGAGCGAGTGTCAAGACTTTAAGCTTGCTCAATCATACCAGCATATCCCAGCCAAAACCTGCACAACACCCTCCAACCAAGAATTCTGCGTCAACTGGCCCACACTACCCTAAACCTCCGTACTGCGCAAAACGTGCGCCATCCATCTGCAGCGTCCCATCAACGAAGCCAACGCCCTTTTGCAATCGACATTTCGGCAGACTTGGCCAGCAGCTGTGCTAAGGTTGCTCGGCTATGTTGTTGGTCCGCACCAGGCCTATCTGACCCAGAGAGATGAACTCGAACATCCAAGGGTCTGAACCTCGACAGCACCAAAGTCAGCAGGAGTCAGCAGGCAGGTAGAGCAAAAGAAGAAACCAAGTCAGCAACTGCCCAGCTTGTGACGCAACGCGAGGGACAGGAACAGATAATTTGTGCAAGGGCAGTAGCCCATGCCCTGGATGCAAAGCCAGGTTTTCTTAGGGCGCCTCTACGAATCGGTCTTTGGGTGGCAGCATGCCCAACTGGCTATCGAAGGCAAGGTCTACTTTTCCCCTCCATCACTTAGACACCGAAATGGAAAGTGCCTATGCGTACTTGCGTCAAGCGACTGCGAGGATCCACCGAGCTGCAATAGCCTCATCTCAGGGTCAACCAGTATATAGCTTTAAAAACCTAAAGGGATGTGGTAGGGATGCTGGCTGGGGGACTTGGCATCGCTCGACGGCCATTCCCTCCCATGACCCAAATGCTGCCAAGGTGCTCTCCAGAACGTCCTGGTCGGATGCACGTCCCCGGAGGAGAGCAAGCTCGCTCTTGCGAGTGCTGAATGTGGTGTCCTGCTTGTGCTTGAGAAGGGATTGATTCACCCTGTACTGCTCGATAAATGCCAAGGCAGAAGAAACTAAACAGATTGCAAGGTTGTGCATGAGGGTGAATGCTCACTGCCTACACCGCCCGTCTCTCATTTCCTGTCAAACCATGCGTGGAAGGTTTGGAATTTGCAATCCAGCTGAGGGAGACTTTCGGCTCCTCAAGCTGCAAACTCCTTGAAACAAGGTTCAAACACGTAGGCATTGGACGGATGCATCCAAGTTCACGCCAGTTTCCTGGGCGCGCCCGAAAAATTCTTTGGAATCACTTAAAAATGCGGCAATCCGGCTGCCACGAGCAACTCTCTAAGTTGCCCCGGCGTAATCCATGCTTGACAACCTTCTGCGCTATTTCCGCGTCAGGGTGTGGGATTCTTCGCAGTGCCCGATGGTCCGACGAGTTCCACACTCTTCCAATGCCGTCTTCGCGCTAGCAGTCAGCAGTCCGCTGTCCATGTGGCACTTTCTGTATCTCTGCATTTGGTGAAACATTGGCGCCAGTTCGCAGCAAGTGTCCCGAGCCTGGGTTGCACAAGGAGCTGCACAGGCTGCTTTTGGGATGCTCCTGCTGTTACTGCCCGCTCAAGCTCAGACCTGGCCAAGGTGCATGCGATTTCAGATTGATCACGGCCAGCTTTGTGAACTTGCCGCTGCTCTGTGGCATCGCCAGCGCCAGGCACTCGCTTTGCTGTCGGAAGGGCATCAGAGTGGTGCACAAGATGGTCCCCAGAATCACCAGTCGCCGACACTGTGAGTTGTTTCAACTGGCTTTGCACGACTGACTGGGACTGCTTCAAGCCGACAGCAGCCTCTCGGAAGCAGTTATCCAAGACCTGGAGAGCTGCCTGCACGGTGTATTATTTGAACGTCCTTTTCAACCTCGTTGAAACGAGCTAAGAAGACACGACTGCCCCATCCTAGATTAATCTACAATGCTAAGCGTTCAGCTTCAACACGCGCTAATACAAGTGGGTAGCAATCACTTGTCTGGGGCTCTGTGCTTCCAGGCTCGTCAACCACGCCGCCTCTAAAGCCAAGTCGACGTCGCCTTTGAGGCTGTCCAGCTGCGGGATGAGGCTTGATGGATGCGGCTGCTCCAAGCAATGGGCATCGTGGCAGACATCCTGAAAGTTGAACAACATCGAAAATGGCGGCTATGTTGGAGTCAGGATTACAATCAACATGCTGCACGATGGGTTTGCTGCAAGCGACCAAGATGTGCAAGCACAGGGCAGTAGTGCAAATAAGGCCACACAGCAACACATGACAGTTGTTCAACATCTCTTTGCGCGGAAATCGAACCTTACAGCCCCTAAAACCTAACCCTAAAATCCGGCTCCTGTCTGCCTCTCTGCAGGAACCGTTTCTTGACTAAAAATGCCGGCCCCCGACTGCTGACCTCGTCTCCGCTGGACTTGCTCGCCTTCTGCCGCACTTCTGGCTCAAAGGCCTCGGCTTCGTTCCAGGGTGCAACTTGATGATGACTGCAAAGAACAGGTACCCTCACTGGCCAATGCTCTGAAAAAAGTTGGGGTTCTGACCAGTACTTTCTTTGGACCATCGCTGGCTGATGCTGTGGATTTAATTGCGGTCTTCTGCCCGCTTGTCCCACTCGCCGTGCTCAGATCGCGGAGGATGATGAAGATGCGGTCCACTCTTTCGAAAATGGAGTTGAAGTTCTGAGCCGAGAATCGGAGCAACTCCTCCTTCAGGGACTGGCGATGGCTAGAGGATACAACTATTGCGTCCTTAGCTCACAAAGACTGAGAGATCAACACCAGACAGCGGGTGCCCCCGAAGCGTTGAAACAAAGCATTTCAGATGAAATCAACCACCACTTACAAAGAAGTGTACAATATGTACGTGCGTAGAATGGGTACATATGATATGTATATATATATAGACTTGTATATATATACATATATAGAGTTACAGTATGCGTTGGCTTCATCTTGAAAAGCCACTAAGGAAGTAACTCGAATTTAAGACCAAGACATGGAGAGGAAGACTCGAATTGAAAGGAAGACATGGGGAGCGGAAAGGAAGGCTCAACTCCGCTGAAAAATCGTATGCAATGCTTTCGGGGAAATGGGTATGTTTTCCGAATATGGAAGCAAAAGAGCGTCAAGGGTCTGCCCTGGAAAAGAACACGGAGAACAACAATTGACAATCCACGAACGGAAAACTGTTCTATTTGCGCGGTTTTTGCTCAGTTTCCACAAGTAGTTTGAGAGGTTTTGGCATGCTCCAGACAAGCTTTCCACCAAGGAATTTGCGAGGCTTGCGCACATTACACGGAGGGAAATCGCTTCCAATTGACCATGTGCGATGTTTACGCAGCATTCGCACGTTCCACGATTTGCACATGCATTTATCCAAAGGAACTTGCGAGGTTTTCGCACGTTCTACAAAGGGAAAAAGTGTCTACCAAGAAACCGCACGAAGGCAAAGCGTGTCTGGGTTTCGGCGCCGCCACATTGCAGCGACCCCGAAACATTCGTCGTGGCGTTTCATTGAGACGTGCTCAAATGCAGGAAAGAAAGAAACAAAGAAAGAAACAAAAGAGGAGACACGACCGCAACTCCGTTGAAAACCCTGCGGAAAGCTTTCGGGGAATACTTTTTAAATGACCTGAGGACCGTTTGGTTGCGTGATCACGGGCTCTGTAGCAACAGCACAAATTCGCTTATATCTGATGAACCATCCGAAACTATACCCCACTTAGAACCTTATCAAAAATGATATTGTTAAGATCCTCTTGGGTTTATATGAACAAAAAATGATTCCCAAGGGGGATATAGATGAACCATCCGAAACATCAGAGCCTGCATGCACCTCCGTCCTGCTGAGTCATCGCTCGCAGGAGATTGTATTTGATGAATCGCGGTGCCGTCTTGGAATCATGCACCCAACCTGGTTCAAGGTAGAGCTGGGTACTCAGAAGTAAGACATTCTCGATCTCGCCGGGCCGCAACCCCAAACCCTACCCCGTTTCCAAGAGTCATGCTCCAGGTTCTCTAGGCTGCTAAGTGGCGGCTCAAAGGGACGATGAACTCCTCAACGGCAATGGAACCTGATCCATCTGCATCGATCATCTCGAACAGTTGCTGCAGGTCGACCTTCCAGAAAGGATCTGTGACTTCTCTCTACTGGCGCTTCTTGGCGTTCTCAGCATTCAGCATTCTCGGGTGAGTCATGCCTTCAAAGTGTTCTCACAAGCTGAGAGTCGAACTTCCTTGAGTCTGAGCTGTGTGCAGAACAAGAAAAAACATGAAGAATCGACTCCATTTTTCTTGTACATTCAATTGTGAGCAATGCCGACCTTCCAGAGAAGACCCAAAGAAAGGCAGGCCTTGTACACTGCATGTCTTGCTATCTCCTATGGCAACATCCAAGTCCCAAGTCTGCGTGGGCAACCCAAGTGACACAAAGCACCACAAACTGGAAGTTCTAACTCTAACATACAATGGACTCACCCAAAAAAAGGGGGTCATTCTGCCCTGGGGCCCCCTCTAGACTTCATCGTGTCAGCCTCATCAATGTCCATGACTTTCAGCCGGCTTTGAAACTCCGAGTCGTGGTGTGCACCATCAAGAAGCTCGTCAAGCGTCAATTCACCGTCCTGCGCACTTGCGGAGGCTTCCGTGGCTCAGGGGCTTTAACTGCGAACGGTCGAACCTATAAGAAAGAGAGGGAGGGAGGGAGGGGGAGAGTGTGTGTCATTTTGTGAGTCATCTTTTGAGAAATTTTTCCGGAAGCTTTCAGGACAATTTGGCTTTGGCGTCTGAACGCTTGCATGCGAGCAAACGTACATCGATACAATGAGCGTTTGCTCGGAAGATACAAAGTAGAACTCAGTCTTGTCCAGAGTTCAGCTTCCTGAGGTCTCCGCGTTGACTCGATGGTGCATCTACCTTACCTTTGAACTGCACACAGAAACTGCCAATCTAGTTCAGGATCTTTGTGGGCTTAACCTGTGAAACTTTGCTCAAGGCTTTTCCTTAATCAAGATGAGGGCGCTGCTACGTCTGGAATTCTCATCATCGTCTTGAAGCGGCTTACCGAGAAAACCAGAAACAAATGCAAAACCCAAAGCAGGTGAAGGCTGCTGTATTGACTCTGACACTCGCGTTTGTCCAAGCACAATCTCTGCCAGCCTTAAAAACGCCTCAAACACGCTACTTTTGTCTCAAGGGACTGTTGCAGGTTACTGGGCACGTTTGTGGAGTTCTCTTGCCCTTCCATGCAGCAGGGAAGCCTGTCCTTATCTTGATCGATTCGGTGGAATATTTCCCGCAGAATTTTCTGATCATCTTCAATATTGAACTCAAGCTCTTGGGCCAGGTTGACAACGTCATTCTCGCGAGCTTCGGCAAAGGTATCCACAACCACCTGAGCAAACACAAAACGGATTATAACCATCGCACTTCTTGATAGAACCAGTTGTGGACCGCAAGGCAACGCATTGAACTAGGCTCCTTGCAGCCACGATGAGATTGAGCACGCCGAACACCAGCGTCAGCAGCGAGCCAACAAAAATTATCGACGTCTCCGGATGAGCCTCAATGATCGGTACAGCTATCTGGCCCCAACTGTCCCCAGCAATGACAGTCTTGAACAAGAGCAAATTTGCTTGCATCACCGTCGATGTGGCCCGCAAGCACTGCTCACAATCCATGAAGAGGCGTACATCTTGGTGAAGCTGTAGCACGTACGGGTGGATGATCTCCACGATGAGCATGGCCCACCCCGTCATTACGAGACAAAGAAACACGAAGGACCATATCAAAGTCTTGAAACAGGTGGCCAACATGTTCACAAGCTTTTGCAGCTCTTTCAAAGATCGATTTCGCCGCAGAAGTTGCAGCAGTCGCACGATGCGCACCAGGCGCAGCACGCGCATGGCGCCGATTTTTGAAAGGAACTCAACTCTCACGAAGGCGCTCACCAGCAAGTCCACACAGCCCGAGAAAATGATTATCAGATCCATCCAAGCCAACCAATCGCGAAGCAATCGGCGGCCTCAGGACAGATACGTCAAAGGATATGTTGGCTACTAACCTACGGAGCATACAATCATACACCCGTGCAATAACCCCAACAGACATTTGCACGGCTCGGGTTTTGTCATTTCACATTTTTCCCCGACGCTCCTGCTTGGGGATGCCTCAGAACCAGTAACCAGATTCAGAGCAAGCCACTACTTCGAGGCTGACTACAATAAAAAGATGTCGCCTATACGATTAAGAAAGATGTGCTCTCCATCCTCACCAGTAAGAAGACTGCGAACGTTTGCGAGGAGCACCCTGCCTCGTGCAAAGACTTGAAAGAGGAGCTCAACCACGTAAAGGCATAAACACATAGTCGAAAGACCCAGTACAGATGTCGGAGTCGCCTCACCACGTGCTCTGAAGTCAATATCTGATGCTGTCAAGAATGCATCGAGAATCACAACGCAAACCATGAAGTGCGCAAACATCTTGTTTCGGAGGATCTTGCGCGAAAACGCCTGCAAGATAGTCATGGCCAGCGTTGCAGAACGCCCAGACTGCGCCGCAATCTTGTTCGTGAGCGTCAAAGAATCTGCATCTGTCTCTGAGCGTTTGAAAAAACCTGTGGCGATGCCCTTGGAATTTTTCTTCGGGGTCGTTTCATCCCCTGCAGCACCTTCTCTGATCTCACCTCTGTTGGTGAAAGTCAGGACACTTGCGTTGCTTGAGCAACTGATTTCCCTGTCCCACTCCGTCTTGATGTCGAGGTCGAAGCCATCATCTGGGCCTCCGCTGCCCGAGGTCGCCGCACGCTGCATTGCTGATCACCTGTGGCGTCTGAACCTGGCTTGTCTAGCGGCCCTGGCTGCCAAAAGCTCGCCGACATGAAGAGGCCGGTCCGAAACAGTGTGGCAAAATTGCGAGGGTGGGGCATGTTCAACCACCATGCCAATTCAAACCTGGTGTTGACAAGGCAGAACTGCATGCCCGGCCTGGCAGCCCATTGTGCAGTGGAGAAGCCACTTCCTCAGACGGGCGGCTGTCAACATTGGGGATATCTGTGGGCATTTCTGTCAACATTGGGGATATCTGTGGGCATGTTCCCAAACATTCCTTGGGGGTTGGGTTCTCGTGTTTCCAAGGCATGCAGACCGCGAGAATTCTTGGACGTTGGGCGGGCTGGGCGCAGAAGGGTTCGAAATCTATATGACATTGTAGCAGATTTCTTGTTATGTAAAAAACCGAGGATGCTACACAGCACCCTCAGATACCTTGAGTACACAATGGGAATCCTATGAGCAGCAGACGAGGGCCTTCAGAACCCTTGCACTAGTTACCCGGAGAAAGCACACACATCCACTCTGAACAAATCACTTCAGGCCATGTCATGCACCAAGAGTGCAGCAAATGCAGCCGAGCAGCAGTTTGCCAATCAAGTCCCGCCGGATGTTCTCGCCTTTCCTGTCCTGTGCAAGTACAGAACAGCAATCTATAGCCAAGAGGCTCGCAAGAGGTTCTGCGTACATACCCCCGTTATGCAGCAGCCAGTCGGAGCTCATGAGCTGAATCATGGGCATCGAGACACTTGCCTGTGATCCTACATGACAACGCGTAAGAGTCTGAGAATGCCTATTGCGCTCATTCCAGGATTCCAAGGCTTGGTGCACAGATCACTCGGAACACAACTATCTCCTGACTGCTGGCACAAAGTCGCGAGAGTCTACAAGGTAACTGAGAATGCAACTCGGGCTGCAGACCCTAAACCCTAAAAGTTAAACAAGCCTCCAGGAACTCTTCAAAGGACGCGGCTTTCCTGTCATGATCTCATGCGCACTCACATGTCCGCGCTGCAACGCACCAGCAGCTTTCTTTGCAGAGGTGGCTCTTTGCGCTCTTTGCACGGCAGAACAAACTCAAGTCACAGGTGGCCTGTCCCACGTAGGCACCCACACACTTCCAGGCTCCTGGAAGCGCAGCTTAGAGATGACTGGGCATGTGGCGAAGTCTTTGCAGCAGAGGACTGGGAATAAAGACATGTCAAGAGAACTTCGCCGTTCTAAGTTGCGCCCTCCAACATACCTGGCATACCTGGCAGACTCATGACAATAGCCTGCAGGAACTAGCATCCGCCCAGCCTATTGTACGGGTACAAGCGTCCAAGCGCGTTCAATTTTTAAGCGAATACATGCCTGAGATGTCGACAACATGGCATAACACCTAGTGCCATGTGGAGCCATTCGGTGGTAGATGGTGATGCTGCTGTGAAATCTGTGACAAGCTAGGCTAATTCTGTCAGGTATGGTTATGGCTTTGGCCTCCACCTCTTGGAGCTCAGCCATGAAGCCTGAGCAACATGCAAGAACGCATTGGGGATGGCTGCCTGAAGTGATGAATCTTCTGCTAACTTGAGAGCTCAACCTATCAGCTCCCGCCGTCCCATCTGTTCTGTCTCCCCGGGGTTAAATACTAACCTCGTAGCTCCAGCACAGGGCGGCCGTTTTGCCAGCGATGGCTAGGTCCCTGATCTGGAAATGTTGCTTCAAAAGCTGAAACCCCCGTCAATGTGTTCAGCCTACTCGGTTAAATTTCAAGCTTTGGGCTGCCAAGGAAATCAATGAAACTTGTGTCGGCCCACGGCTTAGAAGACAGCTCCGATGATCCCTTTGGCCATGCTTTCCATAAAAAGGTTGAGGGCATATATGATTCAACCCAAAAGGCCCGTTAAGCTCTCTGTTCCTTCAAACTAAAACATGGGTGTGATGTGCTTTTCTCGCCAAACACTGGGGCGCAACTTCGGGCTTCCACCGTTCAATTATTGTATATGTGTGTATATATATATGTAGAAATAGGATGGGTACAAATAAGCACTGAAAGAGAGTAACTTCGTCAAACGGCCTGGTTTAATGGCTTCTGTTCTGTCAACTTCTGATCTGTCAAAGTTAAGCTCCGACTTTAGATGCCGATTTCAAAGGTGTGAATATTGTTATCATTATTATGTTTATGATTATTGTTCTTATTTTTTGCTATTGTGATGATGATTATGTATTACTATGATAAAGAATCGTGTTGTTTCTGGGGGTTGAGGGGCGACTTATGTCAAAGAGTTTAAAGTGCTCAAGGGCTTCCACAGAAATACGCTTTTGAGGCCAGGTCAAAACACGGCTCCCGATTCGGAGTTCTTTCAGGTCTTGACTCATCTGAATAAGCAAACAATAGCAAAGACCTCTTCGATCAAAGTACCTGCATCCCCGCAAGCCTGCATCGAGCGCGAATGCGGCTCTCGATAATTTGCTTGGCAATGTGTAAGCCTGTTGCTAAGCTTAAGAACTTTAAGCTCCTGTTCGTGTCACCAGCCACTACCACCCAACACCGATTTTTCCGTGCGCAAGAGGGGCAAAACAAAAGATCCCCAGAGACCACCTGGGCGCGTCACGTAGCTTCATGATGTCACGGTTGCCCAGAATGAAATAGACCTGGTCAAGGGAGGTTCCAGTCAGTGCCATGACAACTTTTTCTTTTTCACTGTCGCCCTTACTCTCATCTCAACTTCTGCCCCCCCCCCAACCCCCCCCCCCCCAACCCACCCCCCCCCCAACCCACCCCCCCCCCCAACCCCCCCCCCCCACCCCCCCCCCCAACCCCCCCCGCCCAACCCCCCCCCGCCCAACCCCCCCCGCCCAACCCCCCCCCCCCCCCCGTGACATGATGCCGATTGCATGGAGAAGGAGTTAAGCAAACGGAGAAGCTTAGACACAAGAAACCGCAAGAACCCTGGGTCCTTTGTTCCAAGTTGCCGCGAGTCTGAGAGGTGAAGGAAGCGTCCAAGAACGCGAAAAGGTTAGGAGTTTCATGTTAGAGGCAACTATAATAACTATGACATGTCGTGAGGAATCAGTAGCTGATTCTGTCCCACACTTGTGCGATTTCAGCCGAAGGTTGGGATGTTAGCTCACCTTAGAGACGAAGAGAGCTTAACCTTTACTTTACAGTCAAACTAGTTAAAGTGTTGCGTGGGTCTACGGAAGTGATTGCCATCATGTTCAGGGCTCGATTCGCTGTGGGATTAGACCAAGCTTCCGAATTTCGCCCTTATCGTAAGCTGCCAGATGTCAATCCGTCCCAGCTTGACATCACAGTCACAGCCGCACTGGTCCAGGCTGTCCTAGACATCCCGTGTTGCGGCATAGGGAACACGATTTGAAAGCACCCCCTCCTCTCTGGAGATTTTGGCGGGCTCTTCCATGCTCAGATAGGAAAAAAGGGCACATAAGGCACATGGCTCCGACTGAGAACGGTGCAGACAAAGGCCCGCACAAGATTTTGCCCTAAGTTGACATTTTTTCTGATGTCCCTTTCCGGGGCTGCCTTGTGACTGGGGAGAAACTCTCCAAAAGATCGCTCGGCCTGATTTGGGAAGCGCCGTCTCAAGCTCAGCAGTGTCTTGATGATGCGGATGTCTCCTGGACCTGAATGATTCAGGCCCAGCAGAGCCATGGAAGGCATACTTCAAATGCCTGCATGCAGCAAGTGTAACTGGCAAAGCATCAGCCCAAATCGACACATCTCAGGCTCAAGCCTTTGTCCGGCCTGAGTTTCAAGGTGTGCCCGTGTCCACCCATTCGTCAATTTTCCCATGGGGGGGTGGGGGGGGGGGAGATCTAACGCTCAACCCTTTAGCAATGGGGGCAGCCTCGATGAAACCTGTGAGCCGAGCTAGACCAGCCCACTGTACTCGTGACAGAGAGGCTCCAGCCTCAACCCTGAACCCTAAACCCACCATGAACCACAAGGTAAGGGAAACCCTAAACCTGCAACCCCAAACCCTGAAGCCTAAACTTCCATGAACCACGGGGGGGGGCAGAGTGAAAACCCTACAGCTCAGCCCTGAACCTGCACCCCAGAGGGTGGCGCGGGAAAACCCTACACTGTCCCTACACCCAAAACCTAAACCAGACATCCACAGACCATGAACCACAGGATACCAGGGGGTATCCCTGTACACGAAACCTAATCCCCAAACCCACCATGAACCACCGGGGAAGGGATACCAGGGGTGGGGTGGTCAAGAAACCCGCAAGCCCGGAAGCCCAACTTGTTTCCTTAGAAAGTTGCTTCCATGCCTGCAGCATCCTGAAGCCAAGCGTCGCATCCCCACCGAAAACGAGCACTCCCTGGCGCCGAAGCCGTAGAAGGCCTGGCCCTCAGCGCGTATATAAATATCAGCACTTGGCTTCCCAAAGCACAGGGAGAAAGGATGCAAAGCATCTGAAGATATCTGAAGGGCGTATACTTCTGAGCCAATGACCCCAAGCTCCTCGGTCCTGCTGCACACAACTCTCTTCAGTACAGTGCAGTGCAGCACTGAGCTGATGCGCAAAGGGAATTCTCTCGCCTCACCATCCCAATATAGAATGTTGCTCCGGTCTATGAACCGCAAGAAATACTCCCAATGGCCTGCACAGCAGACGCTGTCGAAACGGCTGTCACGACTACGTGCGCCCTTTGGGAAGCTGAAAAAAAGAGCCTTCAACATCCGTGATGAACTCGATTAAGCTCTTGCCTTGGGTTGCAGTTAGCAAAGGTTGTCCAGTGGAACCTGTCAAGACCGGAAAACCTAAACACACCTACACCCAAACTAACGCGGCTGCACTTGTCAAACCTTGCACCGCATGGATTTATGAGTTACATGTTGCTAAAGGGGGATGACTGGCACGGCAGCATGTGTGAGCGCCAGACTGTTGAACTTGAAGTTCTGGACCTCCACAACATCCTCTTCTAAGGATGCCTTGCAAGAGGATGGCTCAGGCGGCCCGGTGGACGGAATAGGACCACCAGGTAGTACTGACGGCCATGTCGGCAAAGACACAAGCGCAGCATAATTGCCCTCTTTTCTGCCGATGTTGATATGCGCACAAAAGCCCTGAAAACCTGCGAAATGATTTCGGCGAAATGTAAACTTCAAATCCCGCCGTAGGTAGGCAAGCAGAACTCCTCACTGCACCGTGACGGGAAACAGAGCTCGGGTGTACACCGGAGGCAGTCGCTGAATGCAGCCGCAATACAAAACTGATTGAGGCAACTGTCGAACTTCAATGTCATTGAGGGCGTTACATATAGCTGCATGGCCTGTATTTCGGGGTTTTCGGGTCTACAATTTCGGATTTAGGGGCCAAAACATCAGGAATGTGGCGCCTCGATCTTGAAGGATGGCACAGCAGATAGAGGAGTATCATCAACGCACACACCTTGGCCAGTCTGCTTCGCACGAATTGTTCTTGCTGGAACAATTGGGATGATCGGATGGTGTGACCCTTTCTTCTGCAGAACTGGTCCTATTTTGATCGGGTTGTTCATGTTCTTCCACACACGGTGGTTGTGAGCATTGCTTCAAAGCTTACGCTTGTTTGCGATGGCATCGCCGTGCCGCTGGCGAGTCGCATTGCAAGTGCACCCAGTACCGGTCTTCTGCCCAACCCAACCCTGGACCTGCTTGAAAACTCGACAGACCCGACTTTATAGTATAGGGTGTTCTGATTAGAGACATTTCCATTGCCATGGTACTGCACAGTTCGGCTGAAATGTGACATGGCTGCTTGGTCCTTCATGCAGTCAAAATAAGGCATGATCGGCCACCAGAGTTCAAGATGTAGCTCTCTTGGTTTTCCACAAGGGGCTCGACTGCGGCTCTTGATTTGCTCATTTTTGTCTCACAACTGCACGGCAGCTGGAGAGCCGCCTTTCTTTGTCTCAGCTGCTTGCCTCCCTACTGCAATGCCTCTGAGTCTCCTGCCTGAGTCTGAGTGTCTAATGACGGCTGTCATTGGTTTCCAGTTCCGTTGTCTGTTTTGACATGTTTTGACATGTGCCTTGTGAACCACACTCGCTTGCTCACACACTGAAAAAGATCTGAAAAGGCTGCTAAATGTGGGCCACTGCAACGAGCAGAGCCAAGCAAGCTGCATCACTTCGGGCTGATAAGGCTGCGACTCCCAATCGTTCCCATCGGTACACCGTCTATGGCAGGTGCCGGCTTGACAAGCCCCGGCCCTACTTCCCGTCTGTGGTTAGCCTTAGATAGAATGGTCCCGCGCATGGTGGTGTGGATTGCGCCAGACTTGAAATCTCAAAAGGTTTGTTGTGTCTACAGAAGAAGTTACCGCGAAGACCAAGATGGTGTGCTCTCAGTCAGTTTTTGTTGCACAAGTCAGTCAGGTCAGAGACAGCTGATGACCCAAAACGCAATGGCCAGCCGGCGTGATTCCGTCATGACAAGTGCAAAATCCAAGTGCAAGATCCATGTCGCAACATATCGCAACCGAAGGTCCTTTTGGAAAACAACTTGGCGGTCGCCGCCACGTTCTTCGGGGCGACAGCTGATACAGCTGGAGCATGCTGGAGCAGTGCGTTTGCACGAACGAGCCACCACATTCTTCGGGTGACAGCTGCAGGTGCGCAACTGCACAAGCGAAAGCTATCACTCTTGAAACACTGAAAAAAATTAGGCAGGTGTTTTTGAAACACGAGCCATCCCGAGTTGACGCAGCATTCTCGGCACAAGGTACATGACGGAACAAAGCCCCATGTCTGCCCAGCCACATGTCAGTCATTCGTTCAAGCTCTTGCCGAGCCTACTTCCAGTTACGTGCGCAAAAACGCTCTGTGCTCGCCCTCAGCAAGCTTCGTAACTGCTAAACTTCCATGGTGCGAATTGATGTCAAAGCATTGCTTCTGGCTATTTCGCCTGTACTTGAAGCTGTGATCAAAGGCCCTGGCGATTTGTCACTGGCCACATCGAAACTCCCGGCTGGAACGGCAACTGCGGAGAAGGTACCTCCAACTTGAGTCCTCGGGTTGCAAAGCACAATGTAGTTCAGCTCGACACTGTGACCTGCATGCAACTTGTCTTTGCAACCCTCTGTCGCACCTCGCCAAACTCCCTTGTGGAGAACTGTCTTGGCCATTCATCGACGCCGGTATGGACGGCAAGCTCACGGTCTTGATGCAGCCGTCCAGTACCTTGACAGCTGCCTGCCAAGGAGAATGCATCACACTACGCCCAGATACGCCTAGGCAATCCCGTACATTGCGCTGTGGTGCATGTCTTGCAGTGGAGAACGAGCACATGGAACGGTAGGATTTTAAGAATGAGACACAGCGGGTGTCATATTTCTAGAGTTGAACGTAGAAAATGTTGTATCTGAATAACTCTGCTCACACCGGTGGTTGTAGTGTACCATGTGTAATCCACTATAATCATGCCACAATGACTCTTTAGGGGGCAAGAGTGGCGGACCGGTGGAGCATGGTGGAGCACTGCGGGACACACTCAGGGGTCTAAATAAAAGTGGGCGCAAGTTACCGACAAGCCGGGCACAAGCAAATACAGTAAACTTGCACTATACTGAGCTTGGAACCCCATCAATAATGATAATCCAGGCGGTCTACCGACCCCACTTGCGTCCGAGTGAGTGAGAAACAAGTGCGGCCGATAAGTCGATGACAGACACATGAATATGCGGAGCACAAGAAGCCACTGCACATTGTGAAACAAACTACGAGCCCAAAGCTTTGTTGATGGTTTGGGACCACCCTGGACCACCCAGCTGCCTGCAAAGAGGCCTCAAGATCAGCCTTCAGGTGGTCAAGCTGGCTTTGGAGCGATCCACATGGCTGGCCCACGCCATTATGTACATGTTTGTCAGCGGCGTCCGGGATTTCCTGCGGGGCGTACCCCAACTCATTGCCCTTAACAGAGGTGCAAAGCTTCATAACTTGCACGCTCGGACAGCTGTGGGCCTCCGGCAAACTTGCCTTTGATGCGACAGACGCTTGTGATGCTTCTGAATCAAAAGCGACGAACTTGACCTAAGACGCTGCACATTTTGCAAAGCCAATGTTCAGAAAACGAGTACGCTCGGAAGCTGAGCCTGGGGCGCCTTTGGAGGCACACGGTTGCTGCGCCTTGCTGTCTGAAGGCCGCCGATGCACTTTTGAGTGCTTGGCACGGCCCTCGACGGCAAGCGCCAGGCCCTGGTCAGGTTCAATCAACATGCACGCGGCAAATGGCCTAAAAACATGCGAAAACTTGCAGGTCCTCTCCAAGCTTTGTTCATGCAGCCTGGCCTGAAGCTGCTCGAACAAATCCGTGAAGTTCTTTTGAGAGTATTTAAGCAGCTGATCCTGCTCAGGGTTGAGTTTGGCAATCATGAAGCACGGGTCATCGTGGAAATACCCTCCTCTTCAACACTGCCGGTATTTATGTCTGTCTGGAACTACAAAGCCCGACCGAAAGCTTTCTCGCCAAATAAGAAAAAGCAGTGCGGCTGAATAAAGTTGGGGAGAAGGAAGGCCGCTAGTAGTTCTATCTCTCGGTCGTTCTTGCAATGTTCTTTCCAGGGCGCAGAGTGGGTTACCCTCTTTTTCTTATCTTCTCTTTCATTTGCGGGGGTACAGCGTACGCAAACTGGAAGATGTTCTCTTACCTCGCCTTGTTCCGGTGTGGAATTTGCAGCTGCTTGTCCCCTTCCCATCTCATCGCCTGGCTCTGCCTGGCTGGTGGGTTGACATGTCACACCCCAAACCCTCCCTGTTCCGTCCCCACCTGTTTGTCAGTTGTGCGGGTCTCGGTTCGTTACTCCTCCTCCGTCCTTGCCCCCTTTGTTTCTGGTGTTTCTTGTTGCTCTCTCCTGGTTTCGGTGCGGTACATCTCTCGGCTCTTCGTCCAGGGAGTGTCGACGCTGCTTGCAGATGCCCGCCCCTTTTGAAGGTGGCTAACCGATCTGCAAGGAGACGGTCTCCGGTTTGTTACTGCTGTCGCGCATCGGGCTTGCTGCGTCCTCTCCCGTTTCCTTTTATCTCAGGGAGGACCGGGGGTGGTCCGCATCACGCGCAGCACTAAAATTCCACCACACTCGACATCGTGTTGCACTGCGGTAGGCCATGCAGAACCGCGACTACCAGAGCCTGCCCCCTTATCTCTCCATGTTTCTCCCTTCGTCTCCTTGTGCTCGACTCCTTCTTCCTCCTTTCGTCCCTCTTCTGTTTCTTCTGTTTCTCCTCCGGCTCACTTTTTTGTCCTGCGTTGCCTTGCGCATCTCTTCCCGGCAGTGTTTTGTATATGACGTCCACTCTGCCCTGCCTCTGCCCTCTCTCGGTGGCGTTCTCCTGCCATTGGCACTAGCGGCTGCTTCCTCATGTTCGGGCCTCGGCTCCTTCCTGTCTTGTGGAGCGCTGCTGATTTCTCTTGTCATTTCTTTGCTTTTGAGGTCATCTTCCCATGCGTACACCCATTCGATCTTTTGGTTACGCCAATCGTATACCCTTTTATCGGCAACAAGTGTTGTGGGCACCTTGGCTCTTGCGACCGGGTCGCACAGAAGTGTTAGACCCTTGTACGTCCACCCGCGCTCCTGGCGTGATGACGGCGCGGTCCTGCTCTATCGCCTCCGTGCGTTTAGTTCTTTGCGTCCACCCAGCTTGGTTAGCTTGGTTGGGCAAGCAGCGCGCAGCCGGGTTCGAGCCTCTGCCGTTTTGCAGGGGCACACTTGGCAAGATGACGGATCGAGCGATCTCGAGCGATCTCGAGCGCAGAAGACATACACGAAGACTATGAAGACGCAGATCGGGGACCCCGGATCGACCCCGGAGGGGCACGCTGCTGAGCCCAAGAAGAAGTGACGGGGGGTGAAGAAGGAAAGAGAAAAGGGCGAACAGCAGTGGGTTGCTTCTTCATCCCTACATTTTGAACAGCTCCGGCTCGCGTCTCTCATTAGGCACACCATGACACACCCTTCCCCACCGACCTGCTGAGCCATTGCACGCATCAAGTTGTACTTGATGAATCGAGGTGCGGTCTTGGAATCGTGCACCCAGCGGCTGAGAGGAATCACAAACTCATCGGCCTGCGGATGCAAGGTGTGTAAGCTCATCTGTTTGTAAGTTGCATGCAACGTTCACTTGTCCTTACCTTTTGTCATTTTTTGTGCAAGCTTCCTCGATGGATCCAGAGCCATCCAGGTCGATCATGTCGAAAAACTGTTGCAAGTCCACCTCATCAATGTCCATGACCCGCAGCCTCCGACGAGCACAGATTGGGCATGTGCCTCTGGAACCCTTCTCGTAATTCTCTGGCGGTCCAAAAAGCAAAGTCAAAGGAATATTTGTTTGCGACTTTGGCCCGATGATTGGGTTAACCCATTCGCCCATGAACTTGTTTTGACACATATCGGGGTCTCAATTAAAATGTGAACGCTGCTTTCATAAGTGCAGGCTTTCGGGGTGCCACGCTCACGAACCGAACCATGTGAGCCGCCTATATATGGGGATTGGGCCACGACTAATCCATTAAATCATTGGCTCATTAACCCAACCATTCTGGCTTTATGATTTGGTGAATTACCCAGTTGTACGGAATTGATGGGCCAATGGGTTCATGAACTGCGCCTCCCCCGGTTAGGGGCGCACCCAGTCACCCAACGGATGTGAAAACTTACTGCGAAATACCTACGAGCACCATATCTCTTCGTACTGCAAGCGGCCGGTGTCATGAAACTCGGTGAATTGCGAAGAATGCGGCAAGCATGCAATACGATTTGGACGCGAGATTTCCGAGTGAACACGACGAACGCAAATTGGCCAACAGCATGCTTCAGCTTCGGGCTCCTGCTTTGAAACTCAGCATCTGTTCGTGCTCCATGGAGTAGCTCTTCCAAAGTCAGCTCGCCGTTCTTGTCGGTGTCAAGCCTGCTTCGATAGCGTGATATAGCGTGGGAACAGTGTCCGATCCTGAAGCCTCAAACCGCTGCAATCCTTGGATTCCCCACCCCATCAATTGAAACATCATGCTGGTCCTGTGAAAAATCTTTCTCAGCAAGTGCTGATCATCCTCCATGCTGAACTCCATCTCTTGCGCCAAATTCACAACATCGTTTTCGCGTGTTTCCGCAAATGTGTCGACGACAACCTGTCGGTACTGGGTCGCTCGGTACTTCCCTCATGCCACTTCCCGACCGTTTATGATGACAACGCTTTATTCAGGCTTCGGGTTCAGGATGGAAAGTCTCCACTCCACAAGCCTTTTGAGCGTTGAAGGAGCAAACACAAAGCGTGTGAAATTTGATCATCCAAGGCTCGGCGACAATCAAGTTCAAAACCCCGAAAACCAAGGTCAAGGATGCCCCCACGAAGATGATAGCTGTCTCGGGATGCTTCTCGATCATGGGCACAGCAATGAGGCCCCAACTGTCTCCTGCAATCACCGTCTTGAAGAGCATCAAGTTGGCGTGCATAACTGATGACGTGGCTCGAACACATTGAGGGCAGGTGTCGAAGGGCTCCATTTTTTGCATTTCGAGCACGTAGGGGTTTATAAGCTCCACCACAAGCATTGCCCAGCCAGTCGTCACCAAAAAACAGAATAAAAATGACCAAACCAATGTTTTCAAGCATGTTGCAAGCATCGTTACGAGCTTGCGCAATTCTTTCAATGATCGGTTCTTGCGCATTAGCTGCATCAAGCGAAGGATCCGGCTCAATCTTAATATGCGGACGATCCCAATCGTGTTCAAAAAATCCACATCGATCATCATACCCAGAAGCAGCTCTGCGTACCCAGATGCAATGATGATGACATCCAGCTTTGTCAACCAATCTCGGATAATACGCGTGCCTGCATGCAATTCAAAACAAGAATGATTCAAATAGTATTCAAATAAAAATAGGATTGCACTTTCGTATTTCAAAGCAAAGGAGCACTGGCAGATTGCATACAGGATAGTGTGCAGGAGTGCTTCTAAGGATGCTACTGCAAGTCTTATCGGCTTGCCTTGCACTTGGGTTTATGGTCATGATGGTCCATGTCGTGTCAGATCTCAGGGCCTCGAACGAGCAGTTGCAAAAGAAGCTCCACCGTGTATAAGCCCAAACACACGGATGAAGCTGCAATCACGGCAGGGGGTGTTTGCCCACCAGCTGCGCGGGCATCAATGTCTGTTGCCGTTAGAACAGCATCTGCCAACACGACGACAACCATGAAATGCCCAAAATACCTGCTGCGAACCAACTTCTTGGCGCAGCCATAGAAGCGACGTGAGGACAAAGCGGAATCTCCTCTCAATGTCGTAGTATCTGCGCTGACAGAGTCCGCACGCTGAAAGTACCCTGCCGAAATCGCTAAGTTCCGAATGGCGCTGTTGGCCTCGCTTTCGACCTCTATTATTTCACCCCGCCGTGAAAAAGAAACAGCGCTTCCCATAGAAACAGCTCGCTCCCATGGTTGCTCCGCGTTGAGGTCCGGAAAGCCATCATCGGTTCCAGAATCGACGCTCTCATTGTCATCATGGTTCCGGTCTCGCGGCATGGCTCCAGCGATCCGAAAAATAAAACGCTGAATCAGTGGATACTGGATGGAGCCGAAAACTAGCAGGGCATCATGCTAATTGCGGCATTTCTGTCATTCAGTTCGCGAAGCAAACGAAGTGCTACAAGACCTAAGCCGCGCGAGGCCTGGGCTCCTCCCAGCGGAATCAAAACCCGGTCCAACTCCGGCAGGGCGTGGGGATTAACGTCAGGGAAGGCAGGCCCCCAAAATGAACCTCAGTCCCATCGCTCGCATCACAATGCATCACACAGGAAAGAACGTCTGCGCATGCGCTCGCGTGGCCACGAGCTCCGTTATGGCCGTCCAGCGCTAACCCCATTGTCAATCGAAATCCCGTCCGCTTGGGGTGACAACAAGTACTCAGCAGGAACTCAAAAAGCATTCAAAAAAACACTTGCTAACGTAGGGGGTTATGCCATTATGTCCAAAGGAAAGGAAACTCTTTCAACTCGAAAGCGGATGCGGCGCTCATGGCAGCTTGTCGTAATGCACTCCTTCAACATAAGAAAAAATAATATCAGATGTTCCGCATCGCCTGTTTGCCCTTTGCCCATGCAGACCTTGCACATAGCGCGCGCGAGATGGAATGGGCGCTGACATGAGTATTTGTACGTGTTCAGACTGGGAGCTGTCGTGCAAGGTGTCACACAAAGGCCAACTTGCGTATTGCAGAAACCACGATTAGCCCCACTTGTGTTAAAAACAAGTCCTGTACATTGGTGGGTTGCTTAGTGAACGCCGCGCACGGTACTGAGAGTGGCTGTTCAAGTGAGCGCCTGAGGTTCTCGACTGTTGATCCCAGTTGTGGATGTGGCCGAAAATTTCAGTGCGAGGTACTACTACCAGGGAACAGCTAGTAGGAGCAGCTAATAATACCCGCAAACAGTTAATATGAAAAGGAAACGGCTAGCAGCATCAGGAAACAGCTAAATGCAACGAAACAGCTAGTAACACTAGCTGAACACTAGGAAACAGCAAGCTAATATAGCTAATGATAACAGGAAGCGGCTATTAATTCCCGGAAATACCAGGAAATAGTTAACAATACCAGAGCACCAGGAAACAGCCAGCTAATAATTCCAGGGAGCCACGAATAATGCCAGGAAAAACTAAAAATTTCAGCGAACAGCAAGGAAATACCAGGACACAGTTAATCAGACCAGCTAATAACAGTTTTTTTTGTTTAATTACAGTTAATAAATGTTAATAATACCAGGAAGCAGCTAATAATCTCAGCTATTCACACCAAGACACAGCGAATAATACCACGCGATGCTTGGGTGCGATCAGTGCGATCGGAGCCCAGGCCATGAAGCGAGGTTGTATCAGAAGTGTTGGACCCGACGACGTTGCGCCGCTGCCTTGGCAAGACGGCCCACTGAAATCTGCGAGCGTAACTCTTGGCTGCGCGTCCCCTTGCTGCACGTGGGAGCCGGCAATCTCAGTGCACGGGCAGAACGAGCTTGGGGAGCATGCCCGACTCTGGGGAACCTTCATCGATGCGTGGGGAGGCGCGATTCGCGCATGATGAGCGGCGGCGGCGAGCACGCCGTCGGCCTCATCGGGTCGGCGGCGAGCCCTCTCCATGGTCCGTGTGCTGGGCGCGGCGCGCGTTGTCCGCAATTGCTCGCGCTGCGGTGGCGCCGCGAGCGCCAGCATACGATTCGAGCTGACTGTGCCACCGCTGTTAGGTAACCGTCTGTATACACAACAGCGCAGCCGCCTGCAAAGGCAACGGCGCGTCAGGCAGCGCTTCCAGCGCGGCAACTGACTCCAGGTCCTCTGCTTTTACGTTTCGCTGTGCAGCGTGCTCTTCACAATTTGCGACGGCGTGCATCGACCGAGTTTTTTTTTTGTTCTTCGCTCCTTTTTCTGGCAGCTAATTCAAGTGGACGCTCTGCGTAATTGGGCGGCTCCTCGCATGCGCCTCGCGCGCCCTGCTTGCCGAGGGCCCGAGGCGAAATGAACTGTTGTCTCGCGCTGCGGCGTTCCAGCGGGGAGAATGGGTGTCGTTGCTGGCCTCGGCGCGCCGTTCTGCCACAACCACGCTCATCCAGGTCCTAAATGATGAAACCCTCCGCCGAGCGCAAGCGGGAACAAGCCTGCCTTCAGGATGGGTGAGCTTTCTAGAGCACGCCAGCTTCTCACCGCTGCAAAGCTCGCGCCCAGCGACGAGAATACGTGGCGCGCGTTGACAAACCTTGCCCGGCCACCGGAACCTCGCACGCCCATTCCCGATGCAGTCCAGGAGCCGCTGTGCCCCGCCCAGCTGACTTGGACCAGCTGCCACGGCAGCAGTGCGAGAAGCACGGCCAGGTGGCGCTGCGGGGCTGTCGGGCATGCGCGGAGCATGCATCTCAAGATTCTGCTTATCGACGCGCCCGTATGGGGCTCCTCGCCTTCGTGGCAACCAGACTCGCGACCACAGACATCGTCCCGGCCTTGGCCTTGGCGCGCCTCACGGAGCTCCGCAAGCCGGACGGCGGTGTACGCGGCATCGCGACGGGCGACGTGTTCCGCCTCGTTTCCCCAGCTCTCGCCAAAGGCTGGGCGACGGCTTTTGATCAGGCGACATACTCGCGCGAAGCACTCACAACAACTCACAACTGCACAGTGACACAACACAATCGCAATCAGTCGCACTACATACAACCCTGCGCGACAGACGCCCTCTTTTGGCGGGACATCGGCAGGCGGCGGCAGGTCTTGATCTTGCGCAACCCGATCGGACGCAGTCAGATCCTGCTACCCCACCGATTTGGGCGGAGTGGGCGGGTCCGACAAACTTGCAAAGAGGTTGCAACGGCCACGAGCTCTGTACGACGAGCTTCGAACCAAACTCGCAAAGGTGCAAGCGCTCGTAACATGTCACGACGTGCACTGTGGGCACTCCTGCACTGCGAGAAATACTCGCGCGAAGCTCTCACAACGACTCACAACTGCACAGTGTGACAACACGTATTCATGTCGAACACAGCATAATAGTGCATCGACTCGGGTCTTGTGGCCCACATGTGAAGTCAGCCAGCTCAGTACGTACTGCCATAATTAGAATGTGATTGCTGTACTTTACTGGCTCAAGACGAGCTGGTGAACACGAGATTGCCTGTGCCGCCTGATGGAAAAGCCTGCATACTTGTGATTTCAGTGACGTGATTCGCTTAACATCAATTCCTGCTCGCATCTCCGCACAGGGTTATGAGCCCGAGGTGCACGTCTTTGGCATAGCTTCAAGCAGGTGGCATGGCAACTTTGACTACCAGTGAAGAAACCCCCGGCCGGATCTTCATTAAAGATCTTCCCGAGGGACATGCTGACTATGACTCATGGAGATACAGCTTGTGCGCACAAGTGTTGCGCGCATCTCCTGATCCAGCTTTTGCATTATCATACCTGCGTGAGTTGGAAGATGAAAGCGTGGCATTTGCAGATTTGCCAAGCATGCTGGATTCTGGCATGAACCGCGTAGACGTCAGCCTCTTTGCAGCCATTGTTGGCGCATGTCAAAAGGGCATCAAGGCCGCAGAGCACTTGAAACGATACAAGCGCGGGCTGCTTTCGGATGTGGCAGACAAGCGTTGCGAGTGTTGGATGAACGACACATGCTGCCGCAGTGTGTGCTGGGGGCACCCGCTCGAGGTGGACGACGCCATCGCAAAGCCATTGCTGCTTACACGCTGGACAGGCTGCAGCGTTGGCTCGATGGAGAGCGCTCGGGTCTCTGGCATGACAAGCATGAGCTGCCTGGGCCTCGAGCCCGCAGCCTCACACCGGAGCAAAAGCGCGAGTTTGCTGTTGCCCTTGCCAGGGAGGGGTTCGACAAGAAGGCTTGCAACGCATTGCTCTCGTCCGGCCTGTGCCCTGACAACGCGGAAACCGCGAATGCTCTCCGGGCACTGCACCCTGCTCAGCCCGCTCCCGAGGTTAACTTCGATGGCTTACCCCTGGCCGCTGAAGTGGTGCCGGACGTGGTCGCTAAAGCCTTACGGCAACTGCCTGCTGACACGGCCCCTGGCCCTTGCGGTTTGAGAGTTCAACACATTCGCGAAGCTGGGCCTCCTGGCGCTAGTCTTGGCATGCTGGAGCACCTTGCTGCTACTGTCGGCTTGCTCTCACAGGGCCGTGCCTGCCCACAAGTTGCGCCGGTGCTCGCCGGAGCCTCGCTGGTTGCTCTGCCTAAGCCGGGAGGGGGCGTTCGGCCCATAGCTGTGGGGGAGATACTGCGCCGGCTGACCAGCAAGTGCCTCATGATGATGGTGCGGGATGACGCCCGCCAGTACTTTGCTCCGGTGCAACTTGGAGTCGGGGTCCCTTCTGGAGCTGAAGCCGCCGTCCACACTGTCCGCGCCTGGCTCCAGCGCCATCATGCTACGGCTGGCCACGTTATGGTCAAGCTGGACTTTACCAACGCGTTCAATAATGTTGATCGCAGGGCCGTCTTGGAAGCCGTTGCAGCCGCATTCCCAGGCCTGGCACGCTGGACTGCTTGGTGCTACGGCCAGCCGGCACAGCTGCGTTTCGGGGCATCAACCACGTTGCAGTCCGCTGGCGGCGTGCAACAAGGTGACCCTCTGGGCCCACTGTTGTTCGCGACCGCTTTGCATCAATTGGCGCAGGAGCTGCGGACTGGGCTTGCACTGACCATCTTCTATCTTGACGATGGGATCATTGCGGGGGATATGGCGGCGGTAGGCGCTGCCGTTGCCCACCTGCAACAGCGTGGTGCGGCCCTGGGCCTTCAGCTCAACCTATCCAAGTCCGAGGTCATCGCTGTTGGCAACCTTGACCCAGATACCCTGGGTCGGCACCTTCCTGCTCAGCTCTTGCAGGCCCCTGATGGCTCGTCTAAAGTGCGTTGGAACTTTGAGCTTTTGGGGGCTGCGGTCGGCACCGAGGCCTTCGTTGCTGAGCACACTGCGGGCAGAGTTCAGAAAGCCGCGCCGCTCCTTGAAGCCTTGGCCGAGGTTGAGGACGCGCAGGTTGCCCTGCGACTGCTCAAACATTGTGCTGGCCACTGTCGCTTGGTGCATGGCTCCAGGTGTACCCCGCCACCTGGTCAGCTGGAGGCCCTCCGGCTCTTCGATGACATGGTGCGCAACTGCTTTTCCAGCTTCACTGGCCTGCATTTAAGAGGCTGGCAGTGGCAGCAGGCTGCTCGGGGCTTAGCGCATGCCGGACTTGGCGTTCGCTCCGCTGCCGCGGACGCTTCGGCTGCTTACCTGGCCTCAGTTGGGGGCTGCCTTGACACCTGCCGTGCCATTGACCCTGAATATGCGCAGGCGGGTTTGGCTGTCGACCCAGCTGTGGTGCAGGCGGCGGCTGACCTTGGCGAGCCTGTGGCCCCGCACTTGGCGCTTGGCATGCGACAAAAGTCGCTTACTGCTGCCGCTGATGTGGCCTCCTGGCGCACACAGCTTGCTGGGGCCAGTGCGACTGCTCGGGCTCTTCTGCAATCCGAAGCTCAGCCTGGTGCGCGGGCGTTCCTTGCAGCAGTTCCCCGCGGAGCCAAGCGGATGGAAACGGCCACCTTTGTTGCGGAGATCCGTCAGCGCTTGCTGGTTCCGGACGCCCGGGAGGACACGTGGTGTCCACGATGTGATGGGGTCCTTGACAGCCTGTCTCTACACGCGGGCACATGCGTTGCTGGCGGAGAGAGGGTGCTTCGCCACAACGCTGTCCGAGACGTGCTCTGCCGTTGGGCGGACCAGGCAGGACTTCAACCTGAAAAGGAGCGACCTGGGTTGCTGCTTCCGCAGCAGCCGGGCGACTTGGGCGCGCTGGGCCGACGCCCCGCGGACGTCTACCTTCCCAGTTTGTTTGGTGCTCCGGCTGCGCTTGACATCGCCATTACGGCGCCTCAGCGGCCGGAGACACTTGCGCTTGCTGGTCAGGAGGCGTTGGCAGCTGCCGCGGCCTACAGACAGGTCAAGATGGACCACCTGCAGACCGCCCAGCTCTGCTCGGCGCAAGGGGTCCGCTTTGTCCCTATGGTGCTGGAAGCCACGGGAGCTTGGGAAACTTCGGCCGCAAAGATCCTCCTCCACATCTCGCGGGCGGTAGCCACGCGTACACAGACGGAGCCAGCGGTCGCACATGCCGAGCTATTGCAGGAACTCTGCGTGGCGGTAAGGGTGCACCGGGCTCGGGCGATTTTGCGCCGCCGTGCGGAGCTGGCGGCGGAGTAGTAACCTTGATCATGAGCGAGTGCATATCACTTGAGGGCGTGGGATGGCCTACTGACTTGAGCTGCGTTTGGGAGTACCCAGCGTAGGGAGGCTGGGTCGGTGGACGGGCATCGCTGCGTCTTCCGTCCGCGAGCTCGCTTTCGCCAAGTGGCCGGCGTGACCGAGCCAAAAGCGGCCTTTTGTCATGTCTGCGCTCGTAGTTGCATTCCCCGAGTGTTGGGTTGTCTTCGCACCGCCTTCAGAAGTAGGGTAGGTGTTCTCTCGAGGAGTTTCGCAAGGGCACACACGCCTGCGCTTGCCGGCGCCAAGGGTGCTTATGAGCATGTCTGCACATTTGAAGTGTTGCAGTCCCCTGGTGCTGTTTTGTCCTCGCGCCGCCCTCAGAAGTAGGGATGGCTTTGAACGACACAAGCACGAATCCACACATTTGGCAACAAAAGCCAATTCTGAGATTCAGAAGTTGACATGTGCGGGTTTGGAAGATCTGGGGCACTTCATGAGGTGTTTCAGATTATATCGTCATCAAATGGGTATGGGAGAGCACAAGCTGACAAACGCCATGGGCATATCATTGCTTAAAGACAAGCTTCGCGGACTCAATGAGTTGAAGGCCACGTTTGCATTGTGGGCGGCTGGCTCATCCACGGACCTGAACGGCCTGATTCAGGCAATCGAAAGCATTCAAGCCGAGTACTTGGACGAGATTGAGAAGCGGAACAATCGCAAGGCTGAAAGGGCAGCCGCGCGTTGCATCGCTGCCGCAGCAAAGGGGCCTGGGAAGGGCAAGAAGGGCAAAGATGGCAAGATGAAAGCGAAAGTCACTTGCGGCTTTTGTGGCAAGCCCAATCACGATGCATCTCAATGCTGGAACAATCCGCAATCGGCATCTTACCGCCCGCAGTTTGCACAGAAGACCGGGGCTCACGGGGCACCGTCAGTGCCTCCAGGTGGAGCGCAGCCAGCTCTGCGTCTTCAGGACAACCAACAGCTGCATCAGCACAGGATGCTCTTGCGAAGGCTTTCCAAGATTTCTTAGCTAAAAAGTTTGCAGGGGCAGCTGTTGACATGCCGCCAGAACTTGCCAGCGCATGTGCGCAGCTTGCATCAGGGGCATGGGCGTTGGACTTTGGCGCATCGCGTTTTTGTGGTTTTTTGCACAGAACTCTGAGGACCAGCATTGGAGCACGTTGAAGTTGAAGGCCTGACCGGCATTGCACAAAGTAATTCCACGGTTGATGTTGAAGTGCCGCATCTTGGACGGCGCAATGCCTTGGTTATGGACAATTCCGTCAACATGGCTTGCATGGATGAAGCATGTGAAGACATGGGCTTTCATTTTTATTGGCCAGCTTATGCGAGCAAACCTCACTTTTGGAAGGATGGCGAAGCAGAAATTCCGCTTGTTGTGCATAGTCGTGTGCCTTCCTTGTGCAATGGTGCTGATGCGGATGCTTTTTATGCAAGTGTGGCCCAAGAGTTGGGCCCCAGCATGGTTGAAAAGTTGACGCCAGAATTCTTGCAGAGTTTGACCGATGAGTTCTTTCAAACGCTCTCCGATGAGTTCACGGCCCAGAACCAGGCTGGAGAACTTGAGCCCCTCGCGTGCACTACAACTGCCGGCAGTGCGAAATCCAAAGTTGAACATCACTGTTTAACTCACTTGCCTGCGGACCCTAGTTGCCCTATATGTGTGCAAGCAAAAAGCACCAAGAAGCCAGCGGCTCGTAAGTGTGCCAACATGTTTCGGTGAACGCATACATTGCGACTTGGTTGGTCCCACCAAGGCCAGCTTAAATGGAGAGATGTATGCTATCGTCACGCGTGACGAGGCCACAGGTCACCCCAGTGTGCGTCCACTGCGTTCCAAAACAGCGGCGGAAACTGCAGCAGCTTGGAATGACATGCCCGGTGGTCTGAACCCACCTGTGCTTTGCTGTCGCACCGACAATGAGGGCGAATTTGATGCTGAGTTCGATATGCAGTTGAAGCAGCAGCGCATCCGGCATGAACGCAGCCTGCCACACAGGCCGCAAACAAATGCGCGTGCAGAACGCTTTCATCGGATTCTTGCTGAAGGCATGCGCTCGCTTATGTTGATGAGTGGGTTTTGGGCATTCTGTCTTGCAGCACTTGTCTACCTGTATGCCCGGTCTCCTACCGCTGATGGCGGCGCATCTCCGTTTGAGCGTCGTTTTGACAGGGTGTATGACGTCAGCCGGCGTCAGATGCAAAAGTTTGAGCCACCGGGTCGACTAGGCGTGGTTTTAGGATACGGTCGGTTAGAGTCATACGTCGTGCTTGATTATGAGCACAATGCCCGGTTTAGACTTCCACGCTTCACAGCAGCAGAGCCCTTGATAGCCACCTGTGCTCCCAAAGAAAAGCACATTGTGCCTCCACAGAGTTGGGCCCGAAGGTGTAGAAAGGATGACCCACGTGTGATTCGGCTCGCTTACTGGAACTGTCTGTACGCCGCCTCGTGGTCCACACCCCACAGCTGCACTGCGCGATCTGCTGGGCTGTTATTCTTCCTGATCGCTCTAGCCAGCTCCACAAACGTGGTGATATCATGGTACGCCGGCGAATCCGGCACCCCCACGGTCGCATTCGCCCCCGAACTACGCCAATCTTCGGCTCGGCGCACTTTGGGCTGCCAACCCATCTGACGCACGGCAAACGCAAAGCCCTATCGGACTGAGAGTAATATACCTTCTGAATGTGCGGAGGACACTGTCGGAACCACGCTGCTGTCTCTTCCTCCCCGTCCGCAACAAGCTCTATCAAGCTCTTCCACGGCCCGGGCCACTGCCCGTCGCATCTCAGGCTACACGTTGCGGAAGTGTCGCCACACAGGGAGCCATTGCAGAAGCCCTGGTGCGCTGAATGCCGACACTGAGAAGCTGCCCAATGCTCATACGGGTCAACGATAACAGAGAAATCATCCGCATCAGCCAACGTAGGAACACCTGGGCCGTTGAGGAGCGGCGCCGACTCCCAAATACGCACCATGCACTCAATGGCATCGCATCCCAACTGGTTTGGTCGTGGACGCAAAGCCGAAAAGAAAGAACAACTTGGCCGCTCGCCGCCGCCAGCCGTTCGCAAATGCGCGGTGGCGGGCCTTGTCGCGCAGCTTTCTTGTCCAACCGCATGGAAGATGGTGCAACTGCTCCTTCACCCCCGCTGTGGCTAAACGATAGGCACCAGACTTGCCCGTGAACATATCCTGGTAATGCCAGGGGGCATAACTGCGATTGTCTTGTAGCCAACGTTCCTGAGTTTGGCCATCGACCTTGCCTTTGCTGCTTCGCGGCGCAGGCCGACCTTTTGGGCTCTCGGACGGCGTTGTCAAACAAGGCAACACACCAACGCGGTCCAGCAACACGCTAGGCCCCAAGTCGAAATCATCAATCTCGTCCGGATGGACTGCAAAGTGTGACGCGAGGAACTCCCTGGTGCGTTGGTCCACGCAGTTTGCAGGGCAATCAGAGCGATGACTGACTTGCTGCCCATTCGCGTCGTGATGATCTTTGTTGAAATGGGTAGCGAGTCGGCTGTCTCGAAATACATTGATGTTTGAGAAGCAAGTGCGGTCAAGGACAAGCAAATTGGAGCAGTTGAGGTTGTACTGGGAAGCATGTGCGTGGCGGATTGCTCTTGCTTTGAGGTCCAAGAGAACTTTCAAGTCTCCAGGGACGTCGTGATCTTAGACCGTGCTGGGCGTCAACGATTCCGCTATGAGCAGCAGGACCTCGACCGCAACGGCAAAGGGAAAGGCGAGACCAAGACGAAGACTCGCGGTGGCAAGGGTTATTGGGACGATCGCCGGTGGGCGCGACGGAATGATAGCTGGCGGCCGTGCCCCTACGCCTCCAACTACCAGACCCCATCGTGGCCTTCGTGGCACGGTTCCTCGTGGTCAGCAGAATCTTTTCCCCACCTGGGAGCTCAAACTCCGACTCGAGCGGCTTTGGCTATGGACGCCATCACCTCAACTGATGTAATGTCGCGGCTGACCATGTACTTCTGGATGTCAGTAGGGATGCCCGCTTGCTCCATCGCTTATTGGAAGGACGCATGCACGACCGCCATCGCCTGTGACTTTACACAAAATTCAGCGGAAAGGAAACACTGCTGGGGCTCAACGCTACAGAAACGGATCCTTCAAGCAAAGCGCTGGCAAGATGTAAAGCAAATCAAGATATCCGGAGCTACAACAACAGAGCTAGGGCCCACGAACACGCACTGGTTCCTGTCCACACCATGACCATGATCGTGCTCGGCTGGAAGCAGCATTTCACGACACCCTTTCTGCTGTCCCCAATCCGCACACTCGCTGCGCACGTGCGGCGCAATACAGATATGACGCACGAGCGAGCCAGCTGTATGCACCGCTTGACCCGGATGTGTTGTCCTGGCTCCCTGACGTGCCTGTCGGGCTGCCGCCATGTTGTCCTTCGTGCGCATGTTTGTTATGGAGGCCCGTCCTCTTTCGTTTGGACTGATGATGCGGGCGTCGCCCGTGGTGGCAGGCCGAACGCCCAGCGAGGTGTTGTCGCCCTTGGTTCGCCTGCGGGCGCCGGCTTGGGCTGCGGCGAAGTTGCTCCTAGACCAGCTGCCGAATGTTCCAAACCTACAGTGCGCCTGGATGCCAGAGCCAACCATGCCATTCGAACCATCCTCCCTCGGCGTCTGCGGCGTACGCCTGTGGACACGACGATGCCAGTAATTTGCAGACGCCCGCCCCGATATGCCAGCGAACCCAGGCGAACGTGTGGTCATGCCATCCTTGCCGCCCAGTTCCGTGAGTTGCTGCACCTCCAGGCGGGGCCGCGTCGCCAGAGGTCAAGTCGTGCCGCGCTCACACATGCTCCGCCCCCGACGTTCCATGGGACGACCGCAGGCGCCTCGACCTCGTGGTCTATGGTGCCGGGTCACTCGCAGCCCTGCACTGTCGAGGTTGATAATGGTCCACGTATCACGAGCTTGCACGGGTCACAGCGGTTCGTGCGCGACCTCGTTTGCTTACAGGCTCTCCGCGCACCCCTGCAGCAGTCAGGAATTCGGTGAGCGCTGGCCGGGCGAGGCGTCGCGATCCAGCTCGCTGTTGCCAGTACTGCGCTGGCCACAGCAAGACGAGGGGCCTGACTAGTCGCCTGCCGTTGCGGCCCCGGGACCGCGCCGCAGCAGTAGTGCCACGGTAGAGTTGTAGAGTCGACACAGGCGTGCAGGCACAAAAGTCCGCGAAAAAATTCTCGTGCATGGCAGCAAACGACGGACATCAAAGACTTGCTGGGTTTGTGGCATGGACGCAAGTCTACACCCGACGTGTTTCACGATCACTACGGGAGTGGCACGATGACACTTCCGGTCCAACAAAAGTTGGCAGGGTCTTCATTGAGGAGTTGGACAAGCAGCCTTTTGGCGCCAAGCCAAGCCGCGGCACGCGGCTGTCCACTGCGCCGAGGAGCAGGCCCGAGAGAAACCACCCCCAGGCCACGGTTCGGCAGGTCATATTACTATCGGCGAAGCTCGTGCAGTTACCAAGTTGTTGGCTAGGTGCCATTAACGATGGGACGCATGTTGTTTTCACTCGAGACAACATACCGTGTGCTTGCGCAACGAACTTCATCATGGGGACTCAATTGTTGCTTGCACTGGAGGCCCGGTCTTCCTTTTTGTGGTGCCAGTTATCTTTGATGCCGGCGGATCAAACCTCCAGGCCGGCGAGCTGGCCCGTAGAAAGAAGCAGTTGGGCACGCGCTTTTGCTGGAGAGGTGGACCCATTGAATGAAGGGTTCTGTGAAGCGGGGTACTTAGGAACGCTACCAGCTCCGGCAAGTGCAGCTCGATGAATTCATGCGATATTCATGCGTACCCCCACTATAACACCTGAAACAGTAGTGGAGCTGAACAATTGGTTGGTGTGCTATCGTAATAAGCCAAGCTTAACGAAATCGAAACTCGAACAACAACGTAGCTGCCCTGGAGTTTTTCCGTGCCAAACTTGAAAGGACAGCTGGGTCACACAACGGGTTATCCACGCAAACGGCCATACGACATGCTGCACCTCTCACGTCCTGGGTTGGACAGTGCATCGCAGGCTGCATCACACATTCCGTTATATTCCTTTTTTTGTTTTGCTGTAGGCTTGCTGGTGCAAGTCGTCACGGGCTTGCGACCCTGCAAGCTTCTCCATCTCCATGCGCCAGCGGATGTTCTAGCGCCAACACCAAAGAACTGAGACGGTTTGTCCTACGGCTCGGGGCGGCTTTGGGTACGAAAATCCAACAGGGAACAGGGACTTCTCCAGATTGGGACAAGGATGTCGACATTTTCACGCTGTTTTTGCGACTGATATGGGCTGCCCCTAATGATGCAGCATCCCATACAGCTATGCTCAATTTGGGCCGTGGCGGCGAGCAGTGTGTGGTGCGTGTGTCGAGGACGTGATCCGGCGGCGGCCCCTCAAAGGGCGGCCCTAAACCGTAAACCCTAAACCCTGAACCCTAAACCCTCCACCATCCTAGCTGCCGCGGCGGCTGTCCGGACTGCCGGGGAGCGCATGCTGGGCGCGCAGCCGGACGAGATCTTTTTTCTCTACGTCTTTTCTCCGCACCTTTTTCCGCCTGCAACATGCGTACCCATTGAAGCTACGGTTGCCGGGAAGCTAGTCCCAGCGCGCATCGGCGAGGACCTCATAGAAGTCAGGGATGGGCCTGTCGCCAAGCTCAGCCGCCTATGGGAGCTCGAGGAACATGGCGGCGTAGGCGCGCTGGGAGGCGACTGCCCCAATGCCTGACCGGCGCGATCCACGTGACGATCATTGGCATTTTAAAGCCACACACCCTTCACCGCCCCAGAGCGAACCATTGCGGGAAAACGACTAAAACGTAGTCTAGACTAGCTTGAGCCAAAGTGTTGTGGCAGTTCGGAAGGTGGGCGATGTGGGGCGCTGCCCGGGCGCGCCAGCAGGCCAGCGGGCCAGCAAGCGGATGAACGAAGCAGCCTCGAATTTGAGAATTTTATTTGGCAAATATCATTCCGAGTTATTTGAATTTCTACGTATTTGGCCACGTCTTCGGTTCCTGATGCCACGTTCTGACGCCACGTTGTTGAGCTCTTGATGCCACGTGCTGACATCACGTCTGCTCTCTTGCCTGGCATCGCTGCCAATTTCGTTGGTACTCGTCCAAGGTAACAAACGAGCACCTGTGCTCAAGGACCTCGCTGAGTGGACGTTGCTTCACATTTGCTTCACGCAGTAGCCAACTGCCTGGTCAATGCAAAACCCCGGTCCGGCCGGGTGCCTGCCTTAAGGGTCGCTGGTGGAAATTCAGGTGCTTGGTCGCGCGCGCGTGCCCTGGCGCAGCATTTTGACGGCGCTTTCCAGTCAACTTGCCTCCAATTCCGGAGCTATGCCCTTTCGGCCTGTGGCACCACGCCCGGGTTCTTGAACGAGGGCACGACGCGGGTATGGAACGCAGCAGCGGAAGAGCCGCCAAGGCATCGCCGACCTGCAGCCTCCCTGCCTCCTTTACGCCGATCCCCTTGCCAAGCTTGGAGCCCCGCTCGGCAGCAACGAGCCCTGCAGGCGTCAGGCGGTTGCTGGAACGCATCCCCCACATGCCCGACCGCATGGTTGTTCGTCTTTTCCTGCACTCCC